AGCAAGGTAGTGAAGTCCAGAGAGTCAAAAGCAGAGTTGGTAAGGGAATGAAAAGATGGCCAGCTGGGGCCTCCCCCAAAATGGAGGTCCCAGAAGGAACTCACCCCTGGAGGAAAGGGGCCATAGAAGCAGGAGAAGGCAGTTGAAGCATGGTGGCAAAGTCTGGAGATTTAAGCCTGGCTAATTCTTGACAAAGATACTGGAGTGGTTTGCCATTTCCTTCTCTAACTTATTTTACAGACGAGGAATTTGACATAAACAGGGTTAAATGACTTGCCCAGAATCACACAATGAGGAAGTGAAGATGAACTCAGGAAGATGGGCCTTCCTGTTTCCAGGCCTGGTGCTGTATCCACTGTACCACCTAGCTGCCCTTTTCCTATGTAGCTCTATGAAAATGGATTTCTACTTAATCTGGAATTTTTTACTATGAGACAATTTCCTGCCTAAACCTCTAGATTGAATGCCTGGGGGGACTCCACTCTCATTCAAGCTTATTTAAGACAATGCCTTCACTCTCCATCCCATTCCTGGTGTCTTCTTTCCCTCCTGGCCTATGGATTACCACTAATCTCAGCCACAAGTCTTCTCTCACTTCTTAGTCTGCATTGTAAAGGGTGGAGAGGACCTCACAACCCACAACCCTACTGTATCTGAGGCTTATTTTTCACTCTTATTTCTAATGGGTCATACCCCATATACCCCCACAGAAGTCCTTGTCACGATTGCCACAAAGAAAGAGACCAATTTAGCCAGTTAATGCTTTCTATATGAACACTCAGTTCCACCTCAGAAGCCAGTCAAAAGCTTCCTCTTCACCACACAGTAAGAGACATAAACTAAGCACAGAACACCTGTGTGTGTTCTGAAAAGGAGAGCCAGGTCCCTCCATTCTATATCATTACAAACTTCCAGAAGCAGGAACCAAACATCTGTATAGTTGATGGCATCAAGTAAAGAATGTTGCCTATGCTTCTGAGAACTGAGACCCCATTAGACTTTTCTATGTGTTCCACTCCAGGAATCCTCATTGACCAAGATTGTTTTGGATGTAATGTGCCCATATTCTTCCCATTCTACACAATACCTACTGCTCCTACCTCTCTCTGCCCTGTCCAATATCTGGCATCTCAGGGATTACTTCACAAATCCCAGGGATTTCTATAGGGGCAGAAATATCTACATTACTCCTCCAGAGAACTTAGTTGTTGTTGTTTTTTTTAATTTAAAAAATTATAATAGAAAAAAATAGATAGATTCAAACATATTTGAATAAAGAGATTTTGCAGGTAGGTGACTCAGTAGATTGAATATCAGCTCTGAGTTCAAATCTGGTCTCAGATACTTACTAGCTATGTGACCCTGAAGAAATCATTTAACCTCTGTCTGCTTTGATTTTCTTGTCTGTAAAATGGGGATAATAATAGAACCTATCTCCCAGGGTTTGTTGTGAGGATGAAATGAGATAATATTTGTAAATCACTTTGTAAAACTTAAAGCTCTATAATTGCTAGCAATAGTTATTATTGTTTACAGCAAAAAGCAATGCTTCTAGAATAAAAAATAGAAGCCACAGGGAAAGGGGGTCTGAATCTTTGCCAGAAATATTTCTGATAAAAATCTGACCTTCAGAATTTACAAGGAATGGATACAAATTTATGAGCATAAGTTTTGTCTTAAGTAATAACCCCCAAAATATTCAAATTATCTAATGAGCAAAAAATGCAAATTAAAACAACTCCGAGTTCCATCTTGTTTCTATTTCATCGACAGTGACAGTTCCTTTTTCTCTGTCCAGGCCATACTTGCTTCCTAAAGCCTGCTAATATACAGTGTCCCTCAGAATGGAACAAAGGAAGTTTCATCCAGAGCTCTTGGATCAGAAGAGGGTGGTATCAACCTTTACATTTAAAAGTAAACCAGGTACAACTCCCCAAACTTTGCTCTTCCTATGCCTTATTACCCCCACTTCCTGTCTTACTAAACTCTCGCCTTCACCCACCTTATCATTTCACTACTGGACTTAACTCAAAACTTGCTGCTATTGCACGCTCAGTCAGTGCCCTGACTTCCAGTGACTTCTAATCTGTACACTCCTTAGTACCTTCCCAGGCCATTGTCCTTTCTGTTTTCACTTTCTTTCCTTTTGCCTCTTGATCCTATAATTAACCAGTTTAACACTACATTATCCTCTACTATCTTATCTCTTGCCCCCTTGTCCTGCTGCTTCTTGTGTTTTGCCAAACTACAGTCCTGAATTACTTCCCACTCTCTGCCTCCTCAGTTCCTCCTCACTTGCTACTAAGTGGAGCTGTAGAAAGATACACTGTGCTGAATGGGTTGATTCTACTGTGTAAGGGTAGCGATTGAGTTAGTCACAAAGTCTGATACTTTAGTAAGGTTTTATATTTCTTGTTCGAAGTTATTAATTCTCCTACCAAGTCTTTCATCCAGAACTCTCATTTCTTTTCCAATACTTTCCTCTAGTGCAGTAATGTCAAACTTAATAGGAATTGATCCCTACAAGTCACATATTGACTTAGAAAATTACAAATTGACATCAGATTGTACTGTACTTTTGTTTATTTTACTAAACATTTCCCAATTACATTTCCCAATTACAAAACTTATTCAGTTTTACAGGCAGTACATTTGACACCTCTACCTAGAAGTGTCATTTCATTTATAATATCATTTTTAAACTCTTTTAAAAGTTCTTTCATTTTCTCAAGGAATTCTAATTGAACTTGTGGCTAAGTTACATTTCTTCTTCGAGGCTTAGCTTATAGATGTTTGGGAGTTATTCTTTTCTTCTGAATTTGTCTCTTGGGTATCCCTGGCTTCATGATAACTCTTTATTGTCAGCGTCTTATTTTATTTCCTCATTCTTCTAGCATTACTTCCTGATATGGAACCTTGTGTTCGGGCCAGGCTCTGCATTCTTCTGGAGGGAGTATTGGGGCTTGATTTGTATTGTGTGGGGTCCTGTCCTTCAAGGATCTCAGGGATGGCTCAGTCTGGAAAACTGCAAACTTTCAGCAAGCTCTGGTTGCTGATGTTTTGGTCTGAGCTTTCAGGTTCCCAGCCCCGGTTTGACAACACAACTGTAGACTTCCACCTTGTTGGAGCTCCCATAGATGGTTGCTGACTCCAAACTATGTCCACTAGCTAGGAGGCTTGGCAGGTTCAGTGTGACAAATGTGTAGCCTTATCTATGGTCAAGTCAAGTCTAGTCAACAAGCATTTATTAAGTGCCTACTATATGCCTGGAACTATTCTGTGCACTGAGAATACAAAGAAAGACAAAAGACAGCCCCTGCTCTCTTATGACCTCACAGTCTAATGGGGAAGACAACATGCAAACAGTTCTGTTCAAAAAAGATGGATAGATACCCAATTTGTCGTAAACATATCTACATATATGATATTTTAAACTTTCAAAAATTGTCGTTTCATTTCTTCCATTTATCTATTTATCAATCTCTCACACTCTCTTCAAATATGATAAATTGGAAATAATCAACAAAGTGAAGTTACTAGCATTAAGAGTGCACAGTCCAGGCCACTAGCTCATAGGTGCTCAGATTCCTTAAGAGTCTGGCCAATATGGCAGATCTTTAACAAACCTTGTCTTTGGCTGAAAGAAGGCTTGGGTCAAATTCTTTCGGGCAGGACCCACATGTTGTGATCTTGGGGTTCCTGCACCCCTAACCTCTAGACCTCTTCATTTCCATTAAGATGCTGGGATTCCTAAAATCTAGCCGCTGCTCTGATTCTTATAATCTAGTCGCTGCTCAGATTTTCACAATCTAGCCAATAGCTCACAGATGCTCAGATTCCTTAAGAGTCTAGTTAATATGGTGAATCTTCAATAAACCTTGTTTTTGGCTGAAAAAAAAAAAAAAGAGTGCACAGTCCAGAGTGCCTACCCTTGTTACTTTGCTACGGGATGAATCAAACAAGCTGATCCCTGGTCCACAGTTCCCTGCTTGGTTACTTGCCTATGGGCTAAATCTGAAATCTTGGGCTGGAAAAACAGGTCACTGTGTTCTCTCCTTGGATTTTACAATCCCTACTTGGTCTGAAGTTATGGGAGAGTTGAACTATTTGAATCTTTGTTGTTTTGATTCAATTAAGTCAATCAATTTATCTCACTCCCCCCACCATGAAGAAATTAACAAGATGCTTTGCTCTGATACCTTTATCAAGTAAGAAAACACCTATTGAATCAATCAATGTAATATAAAAGTTAATCTGACTATAAAATAGCTAAATAGAACTGGAGCATAGGGGACCACAAAAATTGAGGGAACACAATCATCTGGGACTTAAACTAATGATGGATTCGACAATACCTCCTTCCCTCAAGGGTACTGGAGAACCCCGGGAAAGTGGTAGAATGTATCCTCCCTGGCGTTCAGGCAATGGAGGCCAGGATAGTAATTGTTACAGATAACTTTGGAAAAAGCAGTTTCAGTTGAATGATGACATTGAAAGTAAGGTTGGAAAACAGTTGCTAAGGAATGATAAATTGTGAGAGGAGAGTAAATAGAAGCAACAAGTATGGACAGGTTGTTCTAGGAAAAGGAGGAGAAATCTAGGATAATAGTTCAAGTGTATACTAAGGTCTAATGAGAATTTTTAAAGGATTGGGGAGATGTGAATACATTTGTAGGTGTCAGGGAAGAAACCATAGTAAGACACCTAATATTACATATTAGATAAACAGGCAGGTAGATAGGTAAATGAACAGTATCACCTGGACTTCTGATGATGTGCAAAATAATCAGGGGCTTTCTGCTGGTGAAGGTGGGAGGTGATGGGATCAAGCTATTCTTATAAAGCAGTAATCATTGTTTGGTTGATTATTTGATTAACCATTTGATTCTAGGGAAGTATGTTGAGGAGGTCCAGGAGAGTTGAGAATATAGCCCAGCAAAAAATGAAGACATAACTGGCCTTGGTGTCCTCCTTAAAATGGAGATTCTGAAAGGAACCACCAAATCAAAGGGAGAGTCCGAGGGACAGAGGTTGCTAATAATGTGTAAGTGTGTGAAATCCAGGGGTGGAGTAAGCTTCCAGGGTGAAGAGGTTTTTGGGGCATTATAAAGAAAGCCTGGAAGAGTAATGAGTACAATCTGAAGAGGAGAAAAATACTTTAAATACTTCTTTAAGTTACTTAAAATAGAATACAAGATAGAAAAGAAAAAAATGAGGCTTAATGAGCAGATATTCTCACCTCCCATCTCTCACCCTACAGCCACCCAAACTTGCAGAAAATACTTGTAGGGTGTCCTTCCAGTGCTGCTCTCATTTATCATCATAAGCTAGTTGAACAGGAAAAACAAGCATTTTAAAGGGTACTCTCCCAGCATTCTTCATCAGCACTGGATGCCAGTACAAACACCTGCAGCAATGGGGGGGAGGGGAGAGCTGATCCAGGTTTGATCCAAGTAGCCTCAGAGCCTGAAAGATGTCTAATCTCACCACAGGATCTGTGAGACATTAAAATCTTACAACTGTGTCTTCTCAGGATAGAAACTCCAGCTGAGAATCAGATTAAATGAAGCTTCCTTTCTAACTTTTTCTGTCCCACAGGTATATTTTAGGGGGCTTGGGACAGCGAGATGGCACAGCAGATAGAGCTCTAGGCCTAGCGTCAGGAAAACTCATCTTCCTGAGTTCAAATCTGGCCTCAGACACTTCCTAGCAGTGTGACCCTGGGCAAGTCACTTAATCCTGTTTGCCTCAGTTTCTTCATCTGTAAAATGAGCTGGAGAAGGAAATGGCAAACCATTCTAGTATCTCTGACAACCCTAAATGAGGTGATGAAGTTAGTTGGCTATGACTGAAAACAACTAAACAACAACAAATTCTATCTGACCAAGTAGAATATTAACTCCAAACTGTGTTTGATCATGAAAAAAAAAATTTCCTTTTTTTTTCTGTAAATGTTAATTCAAAATGTCTTTTGTTAAAAACAAAAGGGATGGGGAGGGAACAGCTAGGTGGCACAGCCCTAACGTCAGGAGGACCTTAACCCCAGTTGCCTAAAAACAAACAAACAAAAAAAAAACAACAGACATATCTAGGGAGCTGAAGGGACTCTATTGGTCAGGACATTTCTCTCTCAAGAAGGACAATGCTTGAATTTAGAATAACGTTAAATAAATTTTTAATAATTGTAACAGATTTGTGCCTAAAAGACAGAGTACAGTATTAATCTTTCTTAGCCAACATTGATATGCTGGCTCTGTGATTCTGGGAAATTCACTTAACCTCTCAGTGCCCCAAGCAACTTTCTAAGATTTTAAGTAATGACCTTCAAACTAGTCAAGGAAGGTCCTCACTCAGAGAGCCCTACTCAGGGGCCTACTAGAGTCAGTTTACTGCAGAGCCAGTTGTTACATTTTCAAGGTAAACATTTACACCTGTGGAAATTAGCAAATTTACAAATCAGGGCTTGATTGGTCATTTTTATTGATTGTCTAGACCAAGGGTGGGGAACCTGTGGCCTTGACGCCTGGTCCAGACTCAAGAAAGTGATAGAGAAAATGTTAATAATGTAGATTAAATTTAAATGTGTGGTTTTTGTTTGTTAGGTTTTGTTTTGTTTTTTTTCTGGAGAGGTGAAATACTGATGAAATCCCAGGTCTAGTCCAAAATATTTTTGCATCTACTTGTTGCTTACCCCAAGTAGAATATAAGCTCCTGGATAGCAGGTACTGTTTTCATTTTTGTCATAAACTTATATAAATTTCCAAAATGGACTGGCAAGTAAATGGTTAGCAGGAAGGAGGGGTTCAGTAAGTAGGGTTTACCAGAAGAAGTGACATTCATGACAAATGTCTCTAGCCAAATGGATGGGTGAGTGCCTGACATGTAATGGGTAAATAAATTTTGAACTGAGTTGAATTGAACTGAATGTTAACTGTTCCAAGTCCTAAAAATGTTGAGGTTTAGAGGTTTAGGGGAGCTGGGACCCCAAAATAGCAACACATAGGTCCTACCCAAATGAATTCAACCCAAGTCTTCTTTCAGTCAAAGACGAGGTTTATTAAAGATCTACCATATTGACTAGACTCTTAAGGAATCTGAACATTTGTGACGCTCATATTGACAAGTGGGCTAGAGTGAATCTTAGCACCTTAATGGCAGCCAAGATGGATCTTATGCGCAGAAAGACTGTGGAAAGGATCTAGAAGTGGCCAAGTAGTCTGAGATGACTGTGAGAAAGGGTCTAGGGAGGATCTAGTTGGGAGTGGCCGGTAAACTGGGGTGACCATGAGGTAACAGAAAAGGACAGGATGAATGCCAGGGACCTAGACCACGTGGCCAAGGGAGAAAGGTGGCAAGGTAACAGATAATGAAGGGCTGGCTGGGTCAGAGGTAACAGAATTGGGATATCAAGTATAGCCACTATGAAAGGGCAGTTGAGGGGATTATAGCTTTGGGCAAAGGCTAGAGACTTCCTTGATCAAGTAGGAAAATTCAAGGAGTTCAAGGTGGGGGTTTCCAGAGCCTGTACCCTATCATTCCCCCCTCAAACAATTCTTTTGAGATAAGGGTCAAAGGTCTTGGCTTGGGCCCATACCCAATCAGAAGGAAGCTGGGCCAGAGCTCTCAACTGGTATCTACTGGCTTCAGGTGAGAATAGTAGGGAGATCACTTCCTTCCCCCATCCATTTGACTGGATACATTTGTGGTGTGTGGCACTTCCCTTTCTAAGTTTCATCCCTGTTCCTTCCATTCTTTCATCATCCCCTCCCATCCTATTGATGCACTGACCACTGGCCAGCCTGTGTTGGAAATTTTCATAAAACAACCAACAGGAGAAATCCTCTTAGCCATTCCATTGCCAACCTTTCCCGTTGCTACCCTGATGGCTGGCCTGCTGCTTCTGGCCATGAACTTCCACCTGATGGGTCCCCTGGCTATCAGAGCATCTCAAACTGTGAGTATCACTGAGAGTTTGGGGTAGCTTCTTTCTACCAGGGTTACCCTTGGTCTGAGGAGAAAAAGAGGATCTAGAAAGGATGGCATATTCTGTGGAAGCAGATTGTGAGGAAAGAGTATTTTAAGTCAGCGAATTGTGCTTTGGGGAGAGGGAAGTAGGGTTTGGGTACGTAGGGGATGAAAAAAAAAGGTTACTAGAGAAGAAGTAGCATGTAAGCAGAGACCAGGTTTGGTGTGGGATTCCCAGACATCCTATTTGTCTATCTATCCATCTGTCTGTTGTCTGTCTATATATCTTTATCTACTTTAGATAAAGAGGTGTGACCTACATTTTAGATCCTATCTCCTTTTCTAGTGTATTGAGAGAGAAATAAAATATCACATGAGACTTTCACAGATTTAGAGCTGGTAGGGACCTAAGAGATAAATCATCTTATCCTACCCACTCATTTTACGTATGAGGAAATTGGCCAAGAGAAATGAAGTGACTTATCCAAGGTTACCCACCTTAAAGGTGTCAGAGCTGAGATATTTAAAATCTGACAGGTACTATAAATCACTTGTATGTTGTTAATAAAATATTTCTTTCATTTTTCTACCTTGTACCCCTAAATGTCATTAGAAAAGACTCTATATTCTCTAGAATAAATATGACAGAAGGGAGGAAGCCCACTGGAAAAGTAGTTGAGTCTGAAGCAAAACAGCGAGGTCTTCCCCTAGAAAGATAATGGGACCTGGCTGAGGGTGATGAATAGGAGATATGAAGGTATATGTAAGAAGGAAAGCCAGCTGGGGAGGTGAAGGAAAGGAGAAAACGGAGTTTAGGTAAAGATGGGAATTAATAGTAATTAATCACTTAAATTTAAGCTTTAAGGTTTGCAAAGCATATATTTCATTTGTTCCTCAGAATAACTGAGTGAGGTAGGTGTTATTGTTATACCCCATTTTACAGATGCAGACACTGACTTGTCTGGGATCCTACAGCTAGGGAGTATATTATGCAAGATTGGAACCTTATTCCAGCGTTCTACTGCTTCCTAAGGGGTTACAGAAACAAACAGAATGATTTTTTTATTGTTACCTTGTTAAAATTAATATACTTTTAAAAAAACAGACTGTAAATAATAGAAGTTTACAATAATACATTCTCTTTGGACTCGTACTTGTTTGTGTATCTGAATATTTATTTTGTGGATGGGTGTGAAATAAGTATTTTTTTTTTTAAACAGAAAGAAATAACGCAAGAGGGAAGGTAGGCTAGAAGAAATCTGACTATTTCTCCCCTCCTTGCTGACCCTTGTCAATCAACAAACATTTACTAAATGCCTACTCTGTGCTAGGCACTATGCTTAGTGCTGGGTTAGAAAGGTAAAATGCAATAGTCCCTGCCCTCTAGGAGTTTCTGTTCTATCTATTTGGCAGACAGATTTTAGCAGGTACCAGGCTGGTCAGTCCCCCAGGCTCTATCCAATTTCCACTGAGAGGCCAAAACTCCTGGAATCTAGCCATGTAAGACCAACCTGGAAGCTCAGAAATATGTAAATGCAGGAAGGGACTAAACAAAGTGTGTTGACTTTCCTAAATTTGCATAATCCCTCCTTCCAGATGAAGGTTGACCTCACCACAAGTAATCTTGTCTTCTACTCACAACCATTTCCAGGCCAGGAGAGGAGGCTAGAAAAGTCCCAGGATGAAGAAAACTGGAGGGGAATCAGCCGGGGAGGAAGTCTCAGAAGGGGGAAGTCCCTGGGACAGAGCCAGAAACTGTTTAGGTCCTAGGGGAAACCTTGACTTCTTAGAGTTCTCCTCTGTGCTCAGTTGCAGGAAACTTGGAATCTGTCAATGGAGAGACAAGCCAAGTGGCCCACATACCAACCCAGGCAAGCAGCTGGTGAGCTAATCCCAAGGGGACCTCAATTTGAGCAAAGGGAGGGAGCAGGAGATGGTGAAGAGGGTTTCATTCAGTTTCAGAAGCCAAGACCTTTGCCACTAATAGTGTTATTGTTAAGCCCTTTTCCAAAGGCTTGCCTTTTAATCTTATTCAAATGCGCTTTCCTTCCTGGCCCCAAAAAGAACCTGGCTTCAGTTTGTCTACCCAGGAAAACCTTAAAATTTTAGAAACTGCCTTATTTCCCTTTACAAGCTCTCTTTATCTCCCTTTGAAAGCAAAAGTCTACCTTCCAGTTCCCTTCATTGTCTATTCTCATTGCTTATTCAAATCTCTCAGACCTTCCCAAGGGAAATTCTCACCTGGACCTTTTTTTTCCCAATCACTCCTTCAACTGGCCTTGCATTGTGGCTACACCCAATCTCCCTTCTATTATTTTACTTTCCTGTGTCCCCTAGTCATTTCTCACCCATAATCCTAGCTAGGCACCACGAGGTCCAGGACCCAGAGTTCTGTTCACCCCAGCTTGCTAGCCACTCCCATCCAGATCTCCTTGGACCTGTCCTTCAGTCACTCCAAACTGCTTGGCCACTCCTGGGTTCCTCCCACAGTCTTTCTGTACTTAAGATGCACCTTTGCCCCATTCTGATGCTAAGAACCTCTCAAGCCCAGAGGCTGAGACTCTCAAGCCTGCTCATCCTCGCAGGCATGACCTGGCCTATATGCTTTATCTTTAATAAACTTTTCTCTGGTTGGAAGATTTTTGGGTTGAATTCCTTCAGGCAGATTCATGCCGCGATCTGGGGCTTTTTCCCAGCACCCCAAAACCTCCCACGAGCTTAGGGTGCCTCTGTGCAACTAGGAGCACCCCAAAACCCCTACCCCTCTTCAATGGGACCATGGATAGACACAGGAAGAAATGTCTATCTGGTTGACTTCTAGGACAGAGGAATGGAGCCCCTGTTGCCATTGGTGCCAAATTCTTGTAGATGAGTGTAGGAATTAAGAGGGCAGCCAGGTCAGAGGCAACCCTCATTCTGCACCCTGGATTCTATAACCACCTCTACTCTTCTAGAAACAACTCTCATTACTGCCTATGTGCAAATGGAAGTCCTAGAAAAGACCTGGACCCCATCCTCCTTTAGTAACCCAGCTCTTCCCCCATCCCTAAGAGATCTGGTTGCCATCAGTCTCACCACAGGTAAGAAGGAGGTAGGACAATGCTCTCAACCTTTCAATTCTCAGTGCCTTTTGTGGGAAGGGGGTTAAGAGGTGGAGTGGGCAGCTGGCAGCCATATTCCTCAGTCCTCATGAAGCCAGCTAAAGTGCTGGTGACAATCCCTAGGAGAATGAGGCTAGGACTACTTGTCAAGACATAGACCAGGTAAGTGCTCTTATTTTCTTCAAAGTAGGCATGGGCTTACCTATTTCCCCATCCCCTTCACCCCTGATCTTCAATTCAATTCACCAAGCAATAGTGAGTCAGGGCCTACTATAGGCTCTAGGGAAACAAAGAAAGAAATTAAGACAGTCCCTGCTATCAAAGAACTTATATTTTGCTGGAGGGTTGTAGGAGGAAGGAGGACAAAGTGCACACAAGGAGTAAATTTAAAACATATACAAAATGGGGCTTGGGAGAAGTGATTACAATGGTATGGGGAGGGGGAGGGGAAGATGGCTCAGAAAATAACTTGTGTCTTTCCAGGTGGTAACTTGAACTGAGCCTTAAATGGGGTCAGGCATTTTGTGGGTCATAGATGAGGAGAGAGAGCACTGCAGGTAGTGTGCTTCCTAGATGCTGGTTCAAACCCAGATCACATTCTTTACCTACCCTTTCCTGCTATGTATGATTCAGGGATCATGCCCACTCATGGAATTTGGCTTCCTCCTCTGTAATGCTATGTAAAGTCATACCTTCAGCTATTCTCTTAATTGTTTGGCTGTGTATGACCCTATTATTCTGTGACTTAGGTGCTCTTTCTGAGTGGCTCTCAGCAGCTGGCTCCAGGGCGTAAGATGGTGGTTGGGCCTTGGTTTTCTTGGTCAATTTGCCTATTTCATGCTTTCTACAGTATGTGTTGCAAAACGTGATGGGGTCTTCAACTGTTTCTGTCTCCCTGGGCATGGATGGAATACCAGCATGTGCCACCATCACGATCCTTGCCATCACTTGTATCCCAACTCCTGTAACTGCATCATCTTCCATCATCCTAACACTGCGTACTGCCAGTTGCGGCCACCTGGTGAGGAGGGTCTGGTATTGATTATGGTTAAGGGACTGACCAAGAGGAGGATCTGTGGCCATGTCAATGGTAAGGCATTGGGCAGGCCAGTCAAGCCCCCTTCCATTGGAGGGATGGCCCCAAGTCTTGATCAGAGAACGTAACCTTCTTGAGGAAAGCAATTGACTTTCTTTTATATTTGTATACCTAGTGCTTAGCATGTAGTAATTGCTTAATAAATGCCTATTGACTAATTGAGTGAGATAGAGTTGGTCAGAACATTTGTGCCAAAGGGGCAAGATAGGAGATGAGAAAGAGACTGTAGAGGAGCCAGAGCAGAACTAATCAAAGCAAACATCAAAAGGGAACAGTAGGTATGAGACCAGATGACTGCTCCCTGTGCCCCGAATGTCCCTCCTCGTTCCTCTGAATCAGTGTAGCAAGGCCATTCTGTCCTCTTATCTGATCTGAATCTTTCAAACTCATAAGCCCTTTGAAGATTTCAGGCTCTTGGCAATAAAGGAAGATTCTAGCCCTTTTAAGTAGACGGGGTCAGAATGGTAGTACTTTACAAATTTCCTGGTAAACACAGATCTTGGGTTTATGGCTCAAAGTCATGAGACCGTTGGGCAGAAATGGACAGGATGGGAGTCTCCACTGGCCTGTTACCCCACATCTGTTCAAAGGGAGGAAACTTTGGGGCAATATTCCTTATTCCTTATTGCTAAAACCACAGGTGGCTTTGATGGGGCTCTGGAAACTCAGCCACACCCAGTCAAACACAGGAAATTTGTCAGGGCAAAGAGACTTATCCAGATTTATGCAGGCATCCTTCTTCTGAACTCCTAGGGACTGCTGAAACAACAGCAAAATGGGAACCTTAATTTTGGATAAGCCAGTCAAATTCCTTTCCTTTGGTGGGAGGGAGCAGGTCAACATAGTTGGAGTCAAGATCAGAGAGAGTAAGCAAGAGTTGACCAGAACACCCACTTCCAAGGGACAAGAGGAGAGGTGGGAAATACAGCCCGTAGTGGTTCCAAATCCTGAGCATCCAACATGGAGCCCATCAAGTTGGTTCAGGACAGAGGAAAAGCCCTAGAGAGTGAGGGAGAGTGAGGTGACTTTGAGAGTCCAGTGTAGACTCCTTCCTTCCCTCCTCCTGTCTCCATACCCTTCAGAAAAAAAAAAAAACATCCTGATAATTTATTTGGTAGAACCTTGGCTAAAAGGCTCTGGAAAACAAGTTATTGTATCCTAAAAGGTAAGGGCTATTTCATTTTTTTTTCCCTTTGTATCTCCTGTGCCTGATACAGAAGAGGCACTTCAATAAATGCTTTGTTGATTGATTGATTGATGGTGGAGAAGTAGCAGCAGAAGCACCAAGTTTATTCTGAAAATCTCTTCTTTTCCTCCTGCTTTTCTTCTATTTTGGCTTCTTCACTAGTACCTGGGAACCTGAGCCTGAATTCAGCATTGCCCCGTCCTGGCAGCACCCTGACCTTGACCGTGCTCCTTAGCCACAAGGCCACTGAGCTGAGCTGGTACCTGCAGTCAGTGAAGAAAAAGACCCCAGTGGTCCTGCAGTCTGGAACTCAGGTGGCCCTTCGCACCAAGAGGGACCAGGCTGTCCTCACCATCACCAATGTCTCCCAAGATTGGGCAGGTAGCTTCCTCCTTCTCTTCTACTCCTTTTCTTCCTTGGCCTGATTATTAAGCCAGAAGGCTTGAAAACAAAGAGGGAAGGTACATGGAGGATAATTACATGGAGATTGTGGGAAAGATGATCTCTGTTTCAAGGGAGGACAAAGCAAGAAAAAAGGAGCTAAAACTGGAACAAGAAAGTTTCCTATTATTTGATAGTTAGATTTGTTAACAATGTGAAAGGCATTTGGGGAAGCTGAAGGGAGGCTAGTGAAGGGGCAGGGAGAAAAGATAGAAAGGAACCATGGACCTAGAACACAAAGGCTTGGGTTCTATTCATTCAGGTATAGTGGAAATCTCAGCCCTGTTATTTGCTAGCTATGTGACCTTGGACAAGTCACTTCACTTCCTCATGTATAAGATGAGGATTTGGGATTAGATGATTTCTGAGGTTCTTTCCAGCTCTAAATCCTATGGCAAGAGGTTGCATGGTACAGTGGAAAGTCTGCTGGAGTTGGAGTCAGAGGGCCTGGATATGAATCATGTCTCTGCCACTCATAACCTGTATACTTGGGCAAGTTGTTTTATATATCCTGGGGCTATTTCCTCATCTGTAAAATGCAGTGTGGGGGGGGTGGGGGGGAGGGGTTGGTGGTAGACTAGATGACCTCGAGGATCCCTTCCAGCTCTGAATCAACGACCTTATGATCCTAATCCTAGATCTACCACTATATTACTTTGAGCAAATCACTTAATCTCTGAGCCTTCTTCTGTGGAATGGGTATAATAATTTTTCCATTGTCCTTCATAGGATTTCACAGATGATATGAATACCCTATATAGAATACTTTGTAAGTTTAAAGTGCTATGTAAATGTAAACTATTTTTATTATTATTCTAAAGATATCAGAAGGGCAGCTAGGTGGTGCAGAGGATAGAGCACTGGGCTTGGAATCAGGAGGACTCATTTTCCTGAGTTCAAGTCCAGCCTCAGACATGTACTGTCTGTGTTACTCTGGGCGAGCCACTTAACTCTGTTTCCCTCAGTTTCCTCATCTGTAAAATGAGCTGGAGAAGGAAATGGCAAACCATTCCAGTAACTTTCTCAAGGAAACATCAAAATGAGGTCTCAAAGAGTCAGACATGACTGAAACAACCAAACAATAACAGCAACAAAAGATATTAGATCTCCACATCAGATTCCTGTTTATGGAAAAGGGAATGCCTCTTAAAGGGCTATTCAGTCTTCAATTTTATCATCCTATGATTCTTTCTTGCTAAAGTTTCTTCTTAAAAAGAATCAACAATCATATATACCTACTATATACTACATATTGTTAGATTCTATAATAAGTCTTATTATGCTTGAACAAGTGATTCACACTTATGCCCTTCTCTCCCCCATATTTATCTCTGACCCTATTCCTTGTAACAAAAAATACAGTTAAGCCAAACCAACTGGGGCAGTTAGGTGGTGCAATGGATAGAGTGCTGTGTCTGGAGTCAGAAACTCATCTTCCTGATTTTAAATCTGGCCTCAGACATTTACTAGCTGTGTGACCTTGGGCAAGTCACTTAACCCTGTTTGCCTCAGTTTCCTCATCTGTAAAATGAGCTGGAGAAGGAAATGACAAATCACTCCAGTATCCTTGCCAAGAAAACCCCAAATGGGCTCATGAAGAGTGGGACACAACTGAAAAAACGACTCAACAACAATAACAGGTGCATTTCATCATCCTTTCCCCAGGCCGAGTTTCCTTCTTCTGGGCCAGCACTAGGATCCCACAGTAGGAGAATGGGGTAAAGGGGTGGGGGAGAGGGAGGGAGGAGTTCTGAGCTACCAGGGTGTGTGCTACTGGCTGGCAAGGCCAGAAGTAATTGAGGGAAGCATGGGAGAGTCGGTGTATGCCCACAGGCCGGTATGTATGCCGCTTCGTGTCCCGGGATTTCCTGTGGGAGCTGCATCAGCTGGTGGAAGTGCCCCTGCAGGCCAGTGATGTGCTTCAACACCCAAGGCAGCTCTCTGTTTCCTGCAATGCCTTCTCTGGCTTCCAGTTAAGATGCTGCTTCCCCAGCACAACTCTGACCTACACTGCCTCCTGGAGTCCTCAATACCTATATAGTACAGGTGTGATGGGTTGGGGGGATGTAGTCTCTTCTGTGACTTTCACTCTATTTCTATATGTGATGCTTTGTAAAGGTGGGTTGTTAGTAGGGCTCTGTTTGAGCAAGCTGGCGAGAGATGGGGAGAAGAAGCTTGAAGTTTGACTGACCCCTTTCATCTTTTGTGACCCTGATGACAAGTATTAACTGGCGACTCTATGAGGATTCCTTGAAAATTCAATTAAATATCTTCCCTTATAACAAAGAAAACTAACCAAGCAAGATAGACCAATGTAGTTGTCTCTCCATATCGAACACTTTTGGTATCCATGGTCACCTGCCCTCTGGATTCAATATCACTCATTGCATTTATCCCAAGCTTAAATGTCCTTTTATATGCTTTTTATTTTCACTATTGTGACCATTGTGTATGTGTATATACATACATGCATGCATTTATGTATATGTACACACCCATACATATATATATATCTATATCTATACACCCACACACATTGTTCTTCTGGCTCTGCTTACCAGGCTCTGCACAAGTTCATACAAGACTTCTCATGTTTCCCTAGCAATTGAAACTCCTTATCTTCATTGCTTCTTATTACATAATACTATTCTATCATATTTTTATATCATGGTTTGCTCAATCATCCCCCAAATGATAGAAATTCCCTTTGTTTCCATTTTTTGTTTGCTACTAGAAAAGGCTTGCTATGAATATTTTTACTGATATGAGACTGTTTAAAAAAAATCATTGATTTTCATGGGTGAACATACTCTGTGGTGGGATTGTTGGATCAAAGGGTATGAAGTTTGAAGATTTCTCTCACATAATTCCAAATTGTTTTCCAGAATGATTGCATCAATTCACAGCTCCATCAGTGGTGCATCATCTTTCCCCCTTCTGTCAGCATACCCTTAGCATACTTTACACATACATAGGGAGATGCCATGGCATAATGGGAGGAGAGATTGCTGGACTTGAATCTATGAAGACCTGGGTTCAGTGCTACCTATGCTTATTAGCTCTGTGACATTGGACAAGTCATTTCTATCAGATAAATTTTCCTCATCAGTAAAATGAGGAGATTGGATGAGATGGTCTCTGCTTCCTCTTCTAGCTCTAAGCTTATGATTCTACCCAGGTCCTGGGACAGTTGGCATTCATGCCAATTGCCTAAATTCTAGTGACAGAGTTCTTTTCTTTTGCTATTCTCCAGCACTCTTGTCCAGGACCTCTGGGACAGAATGTCTCACTCTAGTTGTGCCAAGCTGCCCCAAGAATGATACCAAGTACACCTGTAAGCTGCAGAGCCCTGGACTGGACCCCGTGAGCATTCCTATCTCCGTCTCCATTATCCGGGGTAGGAAGATTTTCCCCAGACTCTCATCTTATCTTCATCACCATGATTCAGGGTAGGCAGTCTTGTCTAGGATCTGTCCAGCTTACCTAGGGCCTAATGAATAACGACCTCTGCCTGGAAGAGTTCTTGGTCTTCCTTATCCCCAGACAGATCTAGGTCTGTCTGCTCTATCCCAGAGCAGAGACAGACTTAGAATTGCTCAAAGATACTCCCTGCTCAAGTGGATGGGATTCAGACTTAGACCCAATTGTAGGAAATTTCTCCACCAAGAAGAAGAAAGAGCTCTTGTAAAACCACTGAATGTGTTGTGTTTTTCCCTTCAGACCGAGATACTACTTGTCCCCAGGACTCTTTGGGTGGTGACTGGAAGGTCACTAAAGCTGGATATGTGGCCCAGATCCCATGTCCTATGAACAGGACGGGAATGGTGGAGAGGCACTGTGGGGCCAAAGGCAACTGGGGACCCATCAACAGCAGCTGCACTGATGTGAGGCTAGTGGACATGTTTCACACAGCCCAGGTGAAGCTTTTGAAGCACTTTTAATGTCCTAAGCTGAGCTAAATCTGCCTCCTGAGTCAGAAGGTGTACGACTGTGCAGGGAGAGAGGCATAGGACCCAGGGAGCTTGTTTTCAGAGTCTTTATGCCAAGACCCTTCCCCAGTGCTTTCTCTCCCTTCCCCTGATGTCCCTTTCCTTCTTTCTGATGCAGCTGTTGTTGGCAGGCCAAGGTAAGCCAAGGAAGAAAGCGCCGCTGCTCATAGCACAGTTGCGGAAGGAGGTAGCAGCTGTGAGTTCCCCCTCTGACTTATTAGCACTGTTGGGTACTGTGAAGATCTTGGCCCAGGTGGTGACCAGGGACAGGATGGAACTTAGCCGCAAGACCTTGGAGGTGAGCACAATCTCAGGAGTCACAGCACCAAGGGGGCAGCAGGTGGGAGAAATGCCATAGGGCTAGTTTTTTGTTTTGTTTTGTTTTAGGGGTTTTTTTGTCCTCCTCTTGGCAGTCTCTGTCTTTTTGGGCAAGCCCTTAGGCTTGTGGATACTAGTTCTTCCTAGTAACCCATGTGTGTCTTCTGGCCTGCCCATTTCTTGCAACACACCTGCAACAGTGCTTCTGAGCTTGGGATGAGGGACATGATGTTCTGGAGAGGTAGAACTGCTTGAAAGCTAGGAGGGCAGAGAAACAAAGATATGTAGGTGTTCATTTCCATATGTAGACACATGAACATGAACCCTAACAAACACATAAAAGCAGATGTACAAATTTACTCACACATGCCAGTGTACATGCATGTACAATTGTAATCATACAAGGTCAAATGGATATGCATAGGGCAGAGATATATGTACATGTCAGGAATTATCTAGCTGATCATGCATACTCATGGCACATGCACACATGGCACAAAAGTAGACAGAATCTATGAAACATATAACCCATAAGAACACACACAAATACATATCTATGACATGTAGATATATAGACACTCTTCCCCCAATTCATGCATATTCCTGCCAATGTTGACTCATACCATTGACTCCTATGCATAATTATTGATTTCACAAACCCTAGGATATGTCAGGAGGGAGGGAGCAGAAGAGAGACCCTTTGAAGACGACACAAGGGATGTCAAGTAATGGGCTATCTAGCCTGTAGATGGAACTTGGAAGTAGACTCTATAGCCAGTGTATGCCAGTAAATGCCTTGTGTAGCTTGCTGGATAGCTGACTTCCTCTTGCACACATCTGCCCTTCTTTCTCTACTTTTGATTTTCTCTGGGGAGAGCGACCCAAGCAAAGTTGCACACTCCTGGCGGAGTCCATGGGCTCTCTCTCCAATTGGGGCTGATCTCAGTGTTGAATGGCTGCAGGATTTTCTGATGGCCACAAATGACCTCTTGGAGTTGGATCCCAATACTATCTGGGCCCCAGCCCAGGCTGGGGTGCCCTCGGTGAGTTCAGCAATCCTACAGACTGTGGAGAGCCTGGGTCGAAGCCTGTGTTCCAGTGACCACCCCTTCTATCTCACCTTGCCCAATGTGCAACTACAGACCCAGCTTCTTGGACCTATGACCCCAGAGGACTACAGTGTCTCCTTCACTCATACCCCTATCAGGGTAAAAATCCCCCACCACGCACTGGCTCAACTGGCTTGGAAGACTGGCCGTGTCAGTATCACCAGTATGGTACTGAATAAATTGGGCCATATCCTACCCATGAACTATGGGCAGGGGTTAAGGGACTTACTCTATACCACTCCTGACTTGGTTTTCTCCAACTCCATCAAAGACGGTAATCAGACTGTAACCAAAGTGGAGATCATTATGGATTTTGGGGGTACAGAGGGTACTCCCACTTGTGTCTTCTGGGACCACAACCTCTTCCAGGGTGCAGGTGCTTGGTCGAAGGAGGGCTGTGAGGCCAGAGCAGGTGACATCAGCAGCACCACTCAGTGTGTCTGCTTGCACTTAACCTCTTTTTCTGTCCTTATGTCCCGCCATTCTGTCCCAGACAACCTGACTTTGACATTGCTGAGCCAAGTGGGTTTGGGGGCCTCAATATTGTCACTGCTGTTATGCCTGGGAGTATATAGAGTTGTATGGAGGGCTATAGTCCGGAATAAGATATCTTACTTTCGACATGTGGCCTTACTCAATGTGGTACTCTGCTTGCTTGCTGCTGACACCCTCTTTCTTGGGACATTACTGGTATCCCTAGGCCCCCACAGCCCACTTTGCCTAGCTGCCACTTTCCTTTGCCATTTTTTCTACTTAGCTGCTTTCTTCTGGATGCTGGCCCAAGCCTTGGTGCTAGCTCATCAGCTTCTCTTCGTCTTTCACCAACTGTCTAAACACTATGTACTGCCCATCATGTTTGTCTTGGGCTACCTGTGCCCATTGGGGTTTGCGGGTACAACATTGGGCCTGTACCTCCCTCAGGGACAATATTTGCAGGAGAATGCATGCTGGTTGGATGGGAAGGGTGGAGCAATCTATACTTTCGTGGGGCCAGTGATAGGCATTGTAGGGGTAAACGGGCTGGTACTGGTGATGGCTGTGGTGAAACTGCTGAGGCCCTCATTGTCTGAGGGGCCCCAGATTGAGAAGCGGCAGGCCCTTCTGGGTGTGATCAAGGCACTGTTCATCCTTATGCCCATCTTCGGTCTGACTTGGGTGCTGGGCTTGGCCACTTTGATGGATGGAGGCAGCAAGATCCCTCACTACCTGTTCACAGTTCTTAATACCTCCCAGGTAGGTGACAAAATCCTGGTTATTCTTATCGCCTATGACCACCTGGCAAAGTGATGCTTAACTAGTTAATAGCAATCATTTTTCCATGGCTCATTTGCTTGGCACTAATCAGCTTCCTAGCTTCAGTTTTAATCCCTCTTTCCTTCTTTCCTACTTTCCCCCTACCTGGTAAGATTCCCAAGGAACTACAAGTTCAGAGATTCTAATTTTATTTTATTTTATTTTTTTATTTATTTTTTACTTTTTGGCTAGGCAATGGGGTTAAGTGACTTGCCCAGGGTCACACAGCTAAGGAGATTCTAATTTTAGACAGTGCTCTCTAGGGAGCTTGCCATAAGGGCAAAGTCCTAGGAACCATTACAACTGGGTTCTATTCCCAGATTTATTGTAGTCAAAGTTGATTCCTTCCCTCCTTTGAATCACTTTCCCCACCTACAAAAGAGTAAGAATAATCCCTTCCTTGGGGATATTGAGGGAGGAGTAGATGAGATAATGATTAGCATTTGCATTAACATTTACTTGAGCACTTACTCAGTTCCAGATACCAAAGAAGGTAATTTCTAGACCCCCTAAAATTGTCAGTACTTCAAATTCTTTTGCTATGCCCTACATAAATATACCTTCACTGAAGACCTACTCCAGTGACTCATGATGGGGTGAATCATGGGATAATTTCTTATAGGATCATAAAGCTAAAGGGACTTCAAGCTAGTATCTAGCTCAACCCTCTCATTTTACAGATGAGGACACAGATTAATAAGGTGATTTGCCCAAGATGACATAGGTAGTAAGCATCTAAGGCAGAATGTGAGGGTGCTTCTGGGATCAACGGCAGAGCTCAAGCTGGAAAGGCTTCCAATACATTCCAGGAGATGGACTTTTCATCTGAAGATGAGCTTAGCTAAATCACTGCAAAGTTGGACACCAGGTTTTGAATTATTTTGGTCACAGCAACTCATGAATAACACTCCCTAAGGAGGAGCTGTCAACTGCATTACTGGAGATCCATACCTGTGGATCTCTCATGAAGTACTGAAAGAAGAACATGAATATAACAATACTCAAAATAAAGACTATGAAGTTGCCAGTAATTTTCTCTATATGACACAGAACTAGGCTAGACAAATATTCCAGTGGAGGAGTCTTAGGGCTTGATTTAGGCAGGTGGGACAGAGGTTAGGTGTATGAGAAGACAACCAGGGAAAGACAAAATGACAGCATTTCCAATCAGTGGCAAAAAGAGTAAAAAGGTGTAGTGTTGCTCACTGGGCAAATTTTGTATTTATACCCTCTTCCTCAGAGAGGGGTCCTCACCAGTGCGTTTCTCCTGTCTCTACTCTCAGGGAATCTTCATCCTACTTTTCGGCTGTCTTATGGATAAGAAGGTGAGTGCTTGCCCACCCTTCTAGATTGGGCTCTGGGCCATAAAGACATGCCAGTCCTACCAACACGTGCTTCTCTTTCCCTTGCAGGTACAAGAAGCATTACTCAAACACTTCTGCTGTATTCTTCCTGCTGTCTCCAGTGTCTTCCTGGTGAGCTGGCAGCATCCCCCTCCTCAGCAGAGACAGTCCCTAGACAAGCCAGGAGGTAGAGTTAGGGCCTGAGTTTAAATTCTGTGGGCTAGGTTTAGGATACTTCCTTTGAAATGATGGCTTTATTTAACACACATATAAAGAAGCAGTGTGCACTGGCCCTAAAGTCAGGAGGACCTGATTTTAAATCCAGCATCAGGCACTTACTAGCTGTGTAATCCTGGGCAAGTCACTTAACCCTGATTGCGACCAAAAAAGGGGGAGCCGGGGGGGGGGAGGACAAGTAGTGTAGCTTAGTGGAGAGTCAGCTAGCCTCAGAGCCAGGAACTTGGGTTCAAGTATGGCTTCTGACGCATAGTGGCAGGGTGAGCCTGGGCAAATACTCAACCTCCCAGTGCTCTGGGAAACTCAGGAAGAGGCAGAGAAGGTGTCAACCCATGTGGATTGTAATAGAGTTTCCTCATCCAAGAGTTCCCTATACCAGTGAAATCACTAGCCCAGGCCTAATCCTATTAAGTACCACTTTGATGCTACCTGGAGGCACAGACCCTGGGCCGACTCTGGTATGTCCTACTAAATGTGGAAAGGCTTCAGGTAAGAACCAGACTAAGAGTGAGGAGGATCATCCACAGAAGGCTGGCCACCAGGTGGCTAGTGTTTGTGGTCACAACTTATGAAAATAGCACTACAGCATAGAAGGATTGTGATTTGCATGGGAAAGCGTATCGACACCTACCTCAAAAAATCACAAATCTCATCTTTTTTATAAGTACATCATATTCCAATTATCCAAAGAATAAGGTGAAGATTAGAGTCAGAATATCTGGATTCCTGATTATGTCAGGTTCACATCACTATTCTGGGCCTCTTTCCCCCCAACCTATCCTTTGAGGCAAGTAGGTGGTATAGGCACACAAAGGTGTACAGGCATAGACAGGGCTTTGCAAACTATAGAACTAGAAAAGATGTAGTCTGGATGTGCTTGAGAACAGTGCTCTAGGGACCTCTGCAGCAAAAGAAAAAGAAGGTAGGTACATAGATTCGTCTGTGTATGGGGACAGCTAACTAGGCAAACCTCTCTCAGTAATTGGGTTCCTTTGCTCCACAGCAGGCCACAAATGGTGTGAATGACTTGGAATCCAGCAAATGAAGAACAGAGAATGCTGGGTATGAATTAAACTCTTTCTTGGGGACTACACAAGGGCTTCAGAAAGGTAGTTTGGGGACAGAGAGGAACTTTTCAGCTTGAACAAATGTGGCCCTCTTCAGAACCCATGTCAGCACTCACACCTGAGGGGCAAAAAACCTTTATGCAGAGAACACAGGCTTTTCCTGGGTGACCAGTTCTACAAAGCAGTGGCTGGGTCTATCACAGTATTTAGGCTGCTGGTGACTAGAGCACCTTCAGCTCTTGTCTTGGGAGAAGACAGTGGGATCATTTGGCTAGGACATGAATTCCCTCTAAAAATGCTTCCTCACTGGGGGCAGCTAGGTGGCACAGTGGATAGAGCACCGGCCCTGAAGTCAGGAGGACCTGAGTTCAAATGCGGCCTCACACATAATACTTACTAGCTGTGTGACCCTGGACAAGCCACTTAAACCCATTACCTCATCAAAAAAGCAAAAAAAAAAAAAAAGCCTCATAGCTTCCATAAATCATCCTGTGAGGCCCTAAGCAAAATTACCTTTTTTGTTGTTCAGTTGTGTCCGACTCTCTGTGACCCTATTCAGGGTTTTCTTGGCAAAGATACTGGAGTGGTTTGCCATTTCTTTCTCCAGTTAAGTTTACAGATGAGGAAACTGAGGCAAACAAGGTTAAATGACTTGCCCAGGATCACACACACCTAGTAAGTGTCCGAGGCCAAGTTTGAATTCAGGAAAATGAGTCTTCCTGATTCCAAGCCCAGCTCTCCATCCACTGTACTGATTCTTTTTAAATTTTTGTTAAAAGGGATAGCTCCCTGATTAGGGGAAAGTAGGAGGAATATATTCAGAAATAAAAAATAACATAAAAATAGAAAATTAATCTCAGGATTAGACCTGTCTCTTCATTGATATAAGGAACTTTGGATGAACAAACTCCTACCAAGAAGTTGCAGAACTACACCTGCTAAGAGAGTTGTCTAGTCACACAGCCAATCTATATCAAAGGTAAACTTGAATCCAGAGGGCCTGAAGACTCATCTTCCTGAATTCAAATCTGGCCTCAGACACTTACTAGCTGTGTGACCCTGGGCAAGTCACTTAACCCCATTTGCCTCAGTTTCCTCATCTGTAAAATGAGCTGGAGAAGGAAATGGCAAACCACTCCAGTATCTTTGCCATGAAAATCCTGAATGGGGTCACAAAGAGTCGGACACAACTGAAAACAACTCAACAAAACAGAGAGGAAAAAAAAACAGTTCAGCAACGATGTCTAACAGTATATATAGTACGACACAACCTTAGTCTTCCACCTCTGTGAAGAGAGGAGGGAGGTTCATTTTCTGCAGCAGCAAGCATTTTATTAAATTCCTACAGTGCCAGGCTTTGTGCTAGACAAAAACTAAATATTTGGCCCCTGTGTTCAAGGTGATTACATTCTACTGGTGGGAAAGAAGGTATACATAGAAAATTAAATACATAGCAATGTACTTTAAAAAGGGGATAGGAGCAGCAATACTGGGGAATCAACCTAGACTACCTGTAGGACACGGCACTTGAACTGAGTTTTGCAGGAATCAAATTCTGATTTTGGTCTTAGTCTTATCTTCAATTTCTGCAAGCTGGAAGAGTCTGGAATGAAGCCTTCAGAAAAGTTTCCATTACAATTACCCACTCTCAGAAGCTTTCCAGCTTGTATCAGAATTTCATGGGTTGATATAGCTAAAGCCTTAGCAAACAGGTCTTTCCTGCCATGAAGCTCACAGGTACAGACCACAAAGTCCAAAAACAGTCAAGCTGCTGCTGCCTATTTTAGCTGATGCAACTATCTAGATATGACATGTGTAAATTATTAGCAAAATGGCTTCAGTCTTTCCCCCAAATAGCTAGTGAGCTGATTTTTTTTTTCTATTCCAGTTTTGAAGAGATTTGGCCTGACCGAGATTCTGTTCTCACACACACTGCTGGTACATGTGGCGAGCTGATTTACTGTTTCTTTTTGCCATTCCAAAAAAATGAAATCAGCAACTTCAAACTTGCCTTTAGATCTCTTTTTAAAAATGGAAGCTTTACAGATGTTTCATGTATTAAATATATACAAGTTGCAGAACAGAAACCAATTCAACAAATTTTATAAGCATAGCTTATAAATATAAAATATAAAACATAAAATTTTAAATACCTATAGGAGGTATGAAGAGTGACTATTTTTGAGTATTGTGAAATTATGAAAAACTTAAAAACAGGACAAGAGAAAGTTGGATCCTGATGTGGGATTGGCATAACTTATTTTTTTTAAAAAAGTTTTATTGATGGATTTTGTTTTTATATCATTTAACCTCCTTCCTTACTGCCCCATCCCTCCACAGTTTGAAACCAACAGTGGATTAGTAGATTTATATTATGTGACTGGGTATATACACTCTAATTCTTCTCCCCCTCCCCCACAAAAAAATATGTAACCAGTGCAAACCTTTCCAGCAAAATCACAATTTTTATTTGATTCACTTTATTTGTCCTCCATCATGCATCCCCATGGATAAAAGGCACCAGACACTACAGGGACTCTTATCTTGTAATAAATGAAAAGACTTAAGGGAAAACATGGGATACAGTGACCTCCTCTGATACTATATGCAACATTCTTCCCTACAGATTGACGTGTTTGTTTTGTTTTTTTAAAGTCCTCGTAGATTCTCAGATATGAGGGAGCTATAATCCATCAAGTGCAGAATGGTGTTCTGGAAGAAGCATTTTGTAGAATGAGCTATGTGGAAAGGGACAAGGCTGGGGATAATCCAGAATAATCTTACCCTTCTTTTATATAAATGAGGGATTTTATTGTTAGGGGAAATACTTTTTCCCCAGGGAAATTTATTTATAACTTTTAATGATTTGCTGAAAAGCCCCAGAAATGGGGCTCTAGAAATATCTGCACATGGATAGAACATCTTACAAATGGAGGGTACTACCTTATATACCCCTCTGTTCCTTTCTGTCCTGTTGACAATCTAGTCATCCATCCAGTCCTAACAGTCAGCCCCACTACTTTCAACCCTCAGTTTGCAAACAACAGACAATAGATTTATATTGTGTATGTCTGGGTTACATATTCCCATTCTTTTCCCCCAATAATTACATATAACCAGTGCAAACCTTTCTAGCAAAACCCACTATTTTTTACTTGACCCACTTTATATATCTTCTGTCATGTAACCCAATAGACAAAAGGCACCTGGCCCCTACAATGGCACTTTTGCTCACTTTTGGTTCCACAACTTGGATGATTAACATAATTCAAAGGGTGTTGAAAATTATTTTACAGGTCTTAAAAAAAACTAGGAGAAATTTTGAGAAATCAGAAACTAGAGTTATTACTTTTGTTTGTTAATTACCATGTAGGTTTCTGATGTTGTAAATAATGAGACTAGCTCTCTGAATCCCAAAAACATTTATCAGGGAGCTTGAAAAGCTAAAGCAAAACAAAGATACTAACCACCTGAAACTGAAAAACCACTTACTGCTTGCTCCTATACAGCAACTTCAGCAGAGATGTCAAACATGTAGCCAGCAGCCTGAACAAGGTTAACATGTAATTGGGAAATATTTAACAAATTAAATAAAAACATAATAGAACGTGGATAATGTTACTATATGGTTTTCTAGGTCAATATGTGGTCAGCAGGGATGTTTATGTACAGTTTAGTGGCCCACATTTCTATTTTAGCTGGACAGGCACTGACCTATAGCAATGAGATAACCTAACACTGTTGGCATGGTTCTGCAGGGTGAGTGCTGTCATATCTAAAGCTAATTTTCTCTTAGGCTGTCCTCAGCTGGGATTTCAGCCCTGCTGCCTTAGAACTCAACTCTGGTATCTGGAGATGCAGTCAATTTAAATGGTATCTTAAGACCAACTGTCACAAAAACCAAAGATTTCCGGGCCAGGAGTGTGCTGGTAGATGTTTAACAACCAAACAGAAAAATAATGTGCCCAAAACACACTTTTAAGTGTAATCTGCATTACCGATATTTTCTCCATCACTTAATTCTAGACAATCAACAGAACAATAAATCAAGTCCTGATTATATAGCATTTTGGAGTTCCAAAGTGTAAATGCTCACCTTGAAAATATAACAATCAGCAGTGAGCTGGTTGGAGCTGGCTCAGCACACCACTGCCTCTGGCTGAGTGTTCCCACGAGGTCATTCAGAGTTAAGTGTTTTAATATATAGTCTTTCTGTAGTCTTTGGCAGTACTTGATTGGTCATAGTGCAAACCATGCTCACAGAAGTGGTGGCAGAGGGTGGGCAGGAAGGCTAAGTGAACTCCTAACATTAGACATCACAGACAATCAAGAAAGACAATGCCTGGTAGGGATTCCCTCATTGGCTAAACTGAATATTTGAATGTTTTAAGTACAGCAGCAGCACAATGAATGAATATGTGTTGGGCACCACAAGCTGGCTTAATGCATCTATTTAACACAGTTACACATGAGTTAGACATACTGATAAAAGTTACTATCTGAGGTTTTAGAACATGAGATTTTGGACTTTTTGCCTAGGGAGAATTACTATTGTACTAAGGATATTCCCTCAAAAGTTTCTGGAAGAAGTTGATCCTTGGCTACAAAAGTTAATTGGCAACACTTGGCATTTTGCTATAAACACTGGAGTGATGATCAATTTAAATTCTTTTTCCCCAAAAATGGCTCACTTCTTTTCAGAATATGTTTTTTTAAATTTCTATCTCCAGAAGTTTTTTTCTTCCATTTCCTCTCAAGTCTTCTTCCCTTCCTACCAAGAACATTTTGGTTTTTGTCCAGATGTAGGATTTCATTGGTGTGGGGAACTAACTCCCTCTGCTGACAGACTTACACCATGCCTGTTGCTTAGCCTCACAGTTTCCTGTTCTACTGGGAGATGACGTGACTCAGGAGTGTAGACTTAGAGGTGGAAGGGGCCTCAGCGGTCATCTACTTCAGCCCTCTCATTTCACATACAAGGAGACTGAAGCTCCGAAAAGTTACTGACTTGGCCACAGTCACGTGGATAGTTAAGTAGAAGAGGTGGGATGTATTAAAGCTTAATACTCCAGGTTCAGACCCCTAAATGAACAGTGGATATAGACTGAGAAGCTTGGAGCTAACTCTTACTGCCCAAGGAAAAGCTAGATGTCACTGTAAAGTGCCACACCTCTGATGAGATATGATGGGAGCTGGAGAAACATCGGGAGAGAAGCAAATAAAATTGACAAGCTGATCAGGAGACTGATGAGATTAGGGTTCTTTAGTTTGGAAAAATGACTAATTAAGAGGGAGACAGAACCAAAGCTCATAAAATCATATGTAACATGAATATAAACTTGTCAACTGATTAACTGATAATGAGGGGCCACACTTTGAACCCTGAGTGAAGCAAGTTTAGAACAAATAAAAGTACTATTCCAAATACCTACTTGTGTAAGGCAGGTATAATTAAAGCTGATAAGTAGCAGAACTTAACTTTGTGGGAAAAAAAAAATCCCATAACTAACCTGAGTGAGTTCCCTGCAAAGGTCACAATAGAGATGGAAGTCAGGAATACATCTGCGGCAGGAATACATCTGTTACATTCCTACATAAACACAGAGGGCTGATGGACTTGGATTTAAAGTTCTTTTTTAATTCTGAAACTCTACAAAAGCTAACTTTTGAAGAAGACATATGCCCTAATGAAAATAGCAATTTCTGCTCCTTTTATATTTTTATTCTATTTACAGAATGCTTTTCAACCTAAAAATCTCATATGTAGAAAGACCCATGCTGACAAGGCCACAGGGTAAAGGATATGGTCGGCCTGCCCCATTCTGCCCAGCCTACCTTGTGGACAATCTTGATTGCAAACCACTAGGATCTTACCAAGCCAAACTAAACGGCAGCAGAGCAGTTTCCTTTCTCAAAGCACTTTTTCTTTAGTGGAATAAAAAAAAAAAATAGGCCAGAGGATCTAAGGAATATTGGTCCAAGTTCAGAGTTTTCCAACATTTCATTAAACATTTGGCCAAGATACCTCTTAAAGGGTGAAATTATTTTACTTTAGGTTAAAAATCCATAAGCAAACTGCTCAGAAGAAACCATTGGTGCTTACCCTCTGATTCTTATGGCTGATTTAAATGAATAGGAGCTGCCTATTAGTTAACTAGAGACATGATTATACTTAACAAGAACTACCCACCCATGCCCCCAACACACACCCTATAAAAAAGCATCCAATCTCTAATACTTCCTTAGTTTATTAAGTTGGGCAAATAGGGATGATCTTTCCATATTTAAACATTTACTGATGTTTCTCAATGTAGTTTGGACTTTACATCATCCTTTCATTATTAAATTAGAGTAGGCACTTGGTTTGTATTTTATTTAGACTGGAACCATATTTACCTGTATGTTATTAGCAAAATAAAATTCTGAAAGAGTAGATTTTGAGAATGTAACACCGATGATTTCAAATCTTAGTTATCTATTCCCTAAAATTACAACCACTCATTTAGTTTCTAATGAAACTGACAAAAAGAATTTTATAAAGGAAAAAAGAAAGATCTCTTTGGAAGCATTATATTGTTAGGTTAAGAAATCCTTGAAAGAGTTACATGCCATGATAACTGAACAGCTCAGAACACTCGTGAGGCTTAATTAGGAGATATTTAACGAAAGGCTATAAATCTTGCTTTCCTAAGAGAAGCACACAAGTATAGATGACTTTGTATTAGTGCACTGAAATGGCATTGCCTAGCACAGGACTCTTACAGATCCTTCAGGGACTCTCTAGTCCTCTTACTTGGGGTAAGCCTCCACAATCATAGCATGGCCCTGAAAAGAAGAAAGAAGTGTTGTCAAGTAATAGTTATATAATCGTTATTACTATTATTATCATCACTTACAGTATCAATAATCACATATTATTAATAAATAGCTAGCATTTTTATATAGCACCTACTATGTGCTAGGCACTGTGCTAAACACTTTACAAATATTATTTCATTTGCTCCACACAACAACTTTGGAAGGTAGGTGCTATTATTATCCTCATTTTACAGTTGAGGAACTGAGGTAGGCAGAGGTTAAGTGACTTGCCCAGGGTCAGAGGCTGGTTTTGAACTTAGGTCTTCCTGATTCTGGGTCCAGCACTCTATTCACTGAGCTATCTCGCTGCCAATGAAGACAGCAAAGGGAAAGGAATCTAGCCAGTACACCAAAGAGCTTCTTTGTTTGTTTTCTTTTTCTTTTTTAGTGAGGCAATTGGGGTTAAGTGACTTGCCTAGGGTCACACAGTTAGTGTCAAGGGTGTGAGGCCAGATTTGAACTCAGGTCCTCCTGACTCCAGGGCCAGTGTTCTATTCACTTTTCCACCTAGCTACCCCAAGCTTCTCTGGTTGAATAGCCTCAAGTCTACCTAAGGCATGTGAAGGCAATTGGTTGTCCAGGATTAAGTTGCAAGAAATCTTCCAGTCAGTTCATCTTCGAGACAATCTTACAGTTAGTCCATCCGTAGTGGCAGGGTCACCAAAGGCTTCCTACTGACCAGAGGACCTCTTGAGGTCCCTTCCAGTCCTAGAGGTGTGACCCTAGGGCCCCAGAGAAGGGGTACTGACTGAGGATTAGTCACCTAGATTCCTCTGTGGCGTTAAGAAAGCTTCTGCTTAACATTCTGAAGAAATTTTGTGGATCATGTAGTAAAACCTGAAAGCCAGGGGTGAGGAACCTGTAGCCTCGGGTCTTTGGGTGCAGCCTTTTGAACGAGTCCAAGTTTTACAGAACAAATCCTTTTATTAAGGAGTTTTGTTTTGTGAAGTTTGGATTCAGTTAAAGGGCTGCACCTGAGGACCTAGAGGGCCACACGTGGCCTCCAGGCTGCAGGCTCCCCACCCCTGGCCCAGGGTCACATAGTTGGGATGTGCCCACTGCCCTCTATATATGTGTACCCCTGCTGAAAGCTTTTGGTTTACAGTTCAGAGCTCAAAGAAGCTGACAGACCTGATAGCTCATTGCTATTATCTGGCAAACCCTTTATCCACTTCTCAGTGATTCCCTAGCCCACTCTCTATCCTCTGCAAGCCCCCAAGTCCATCTACCCTTCCAGAGGGATTCACCTCCTAGTTGACAGGAAAAGTAGAAATATGAGGGCCTTCATCTGTCCTCCCTCCTTTCCACCTCCAAGCATCTATGCTTTCCAGATATTCTCTCATAACACATCTTCTCTCCTATCAAAGAAGAGGCATCCCTTTTGCTCTCCAAGGCAAATAATCTTCTAGTTATGCTGTTCCCTCCACTCCTCCTGGATCTTGCATCCTTCCCATACTACAGGTTCCTCCTCTATCTTCAGATATGAATAGGTCACCATCTCCCATACCCTGGCCCAAGAAAAAAACTGCCACTGAAAGTCCTTTGCTTGATCCTACTGCCACCAGCCTACTTGTCTTCTTTTCCATTCACCGCCAAACTTCTTGGACTGAAAGCCTATACCTGTTATCTCCACAGCCTCACCACCCATTCATTCCTTAATCCTAAAATCTGGTTTTTGATACCATCACTCTTGAAATAATTTTTTTTTTTTTAGCTAGGCAATAGGGTTAAGTGACTTGCCCAGGGTCACACAGTTAGTAAGTATCAGAGGCCACATTTGAACTCAGGTCCTCCTAACTCCAAGGCTGGGGTTCTATCCACTGTGCCACCTATCTGCCCCCTGAAATAATTATCTTTAAGATCAACACAAGATTCAGTGGCTTTTTCTCAGACTTCATCTTTAGTAATCCATAACTGATTATCATTCTTGCTCTGGAAAATCTGTCCTTTGGACTCCATTATCATCCACTCACCTGGTTCTGTCTTCCTACCTTTTTGATCATTCTTTCTTGGCCTAGCACCTCTCTTTCTACACCCTAAAATACACATACTCCCCAAATTATAATTATTAGCCTTCTTTGGTCTTTATATTCTCAGTGACACTTTGGTTCAAATACCCCCTCCATGCACACCCCCAAATGTGTATCTCACCATGCCTTCCACAGTACCTTCCTCATAGTAGGTACCCCATAAGTAGTAAATGAATCTCTCTAGCCTTGGACCTGTTTCCCAAGCTCTAGTTGCACATTTCCAAATCCCTACTGAACATTTCCATACGAATGTGCCATCATCTGAAACGCACAAGTGTAAAAAACCAAATTCTCTATCTTCTAATAGGTTCTCCACTCCCGATTTTTAATTTTAACGACATTCAAGTCTTCTATGTTCCAAATCTCGGAATCTTAATTCCTTTTTCTCCCTTGACATTCACGTGTAATCATCACCAAATATTATCCAAATTTCTTTCTCAGCCTTTCTCACTTATCCCTTCTTTTAAATCCCCACTGACAATACCCCAAGTCAAGGCTCATGACTACATTATTGCAACAAAGTGCCTGGTTTCTCTGCTCTCGGGTTCTCCCCTTTCCAATACATTCTGCATACCACTGTCCAAGTAATACAACTAGAACACTCCTTTCTTCAAGTAGTTCTTCTGTTCAAAAACCTTTATTGGCTCCCTAATCCCTATTTTAAGGCTCTCCACCATCTGGCCTTGCCCTACCTATCCTTTCACCATATCTTATCACAAACCCTCTTCTCCAGCCAGAGCTTCCCTGTATATCCTTCATCTCTGGGCCTTTTGTCCTGTCATTCCCTTTCTTTCCCCCTCTTACCTAGATAAAACCCGCCCACCTTTAAAGCCCAGATCATGTCCCACCTTCTCTAAGAAGCCCTCCTTGAACACTCCAGCACATACTGGTCTTTACTCACCTTTGATTCCCCTATAGCATACATCTGTACCACTCTTTCTGCCCTCACTCTCATGATCTGTAATGTTATATAAATTTTCATGTGCATATATAACTTGTCTCTCTGATTATATTATAAGATTCTTGAGGGAAAGAATCATGTATTATATTTCTTATACCTTCAGACAGATCTAAACATATATTAGGTGCTCAAAACCACCCACCAATTACCAAAGGTATTAATCTATCTGGAGTATTCTTTACAAAGAATTGTTGTTCTATCCTCACAATTTCCTTTGGTTAGCATTGATGCTGAAAAATGCAGGGTGGCTATAACTGTCACTGTTTTGAAAAGGAGGCTATGATACAGGAGAAAAACACAAGATTCAGAGCTAGATGACCTGGATCTGAATTCCCATTTGCCACTTACTACCTTTGTGATCATAGGCAAGATGCTTAGCCTTTCTGGGACTCAGTTTCTTCATCTGCACAAGGGGTATATTTCCACTACTTACCTCAAATGGCCTGTTGTAAGGAAAGTATTTTGCAAACCCTTAAGTCTTATGTATAAGTATTAGTTGATTTTTCAGGTGAAATTACACAGGTTTAAAGACTTTTTCAATCATGTTGTTTCCAACTCAGTGGTATATCTGCAATTTCTCCTCTTTCAGAGTCATTAGGAATGTACATTAAATGCTTTCATAAATTTTACTTCCTTAGTTTAATGCACCATTCACAAAGAACAGCCATTTGGTGTCTATCAATTACCAGAAATCTATTATCAACCTCACACAGAAATTTTTTTTTAAGGCAGGGGGTAGGGTATCCAACAATTTAAAGTCTTTAAAAATGTAGTCTGCCTTTCAGGGAAGGTTACTGTAAGTGAGAAGAACATAACAAGGTCTTTTCAGGCCAGTAAGAAAACAAGGACTCTAGTTAACTTTTCTTTTTAGTTCTATTACCACAAGAAGGTCTTAGCCAGGCCATCTCTGCAGTGAGTCAGTAAAGTAGGGTAGGAAACCTATCAGAACAAAACAATTTTCTCTGCATTTACATCCTCAATAACAAATTAGCTAGAGGTAAATTGATCCTCTAGTTAGGCAATTAAGATGCAGTTCAATTTTCTAGAAAAATGCCACATCTTCTAAAGCAGTTTTATGGACAAGGCACCTTTCTTAGAAATAGCTAACAAGGGGGCAGCTAGGTGGCGAAGTGGATAGAGCACAGGCCTGGATTCAGGAGGACCTGAGTTCAAATTCATCTCAGACCAGACACTTGACACTTACTAGCTGCGTGAACCTGGGCAAGTCACTTAACCCCAATTGCCTCACCAAAAAAAAAAAAAAAGCTAACAAGATCAGGATGAATTTTATGAGGAAAGAGAACACAAAAAGGGTTTCTTCCACCTCCCAGTTACCTAAATACTATTTAATGAGAACAAAGCCTTCTAAAATGGTTGCATCTAAAAAGAAGAGGTGTCCCATGACACCAACCATCCTCAGAAGGTGCTGTTTTCAGTTCCTTTCTGATAGAAGGAAGTGAATGTTAGGAGGAGCCTGTGCTGTTGGTTTAACTTACCTGTCCTCCTGCTGCACAGGCAGCCACTAATCCATACTGACCACCACCTTTCCTTAATCTGTTGGCAGCTGCCATAACCAGACGACAACCAGTGGCACCAAAGGGATGTCCAAGAGACAGGGATCCACCCCAGGTATTAAACTTCTCCAAAGGAGGTGCACCAACCTATTGCCCATAGAAACAAAAGGACAAACATAACATGAGGTAGATGTAGGGAAAGAGGCTTGGCCAGGCTTGTAGCAATAGGAAAGGCTAGAAGTCACAGACCACAAGGGGCTCTAGAAGCATCACCAATCACTCGGCAGTCACGTTAGTATGGTGGAAAGAGTGCTGATCGTAGTGTCACAGACCCAGAGTTTGAATTTGGTCTGTCACTTAGAATCTACCTGCGTGACCTTGGGTAAGTCTCTTAGGTCTCAGTTTCCTCATCTGTAAATAAGGAGTTTGGATTAGATGACCTCTAAGGTAACCATTCTAACCCTAGGTTTATGTATGACACTATGATTTTATTGTAAAGCAAATACCTCCTAGGGTAACCATCAAGCTAATGAAAGATAGTGGTCAAATACTTTTCATCAATTAAAAAGAGAAAGAATAATCAAAATATAACAAATCTGACTTTGTGCTTTTGCTGAACAATTTGAAGTTAATATAACTATGATAAGGCCTCAGAGAAATATATTTAAGTTAATAGAACATTTCTCTTTGAATAGGTGTTTGCATGTAATTCTACTCCAATGTTCACATACATTAGAAATTCAAACACACATTTAATTTCAAAACTTACCTTGGATTTCCTACCCATGTAGTTCTGTGCAAACCAATCTGAGTCCATCGCTTTGAAGTTAGCCAAAATCTGACCCTAGGAAGGAAAATAATTTAGCAAGGAATAAATTTTTAATGTCAAGTATCTTACTAAAACCAAAATGTGGCCCAAACATTGTTTCAGGTATGGGTTTAAATGACTTTAAAGGTAATGATGCTGATTTTTTTCTGGGGAAAACACTTTAGCTCCTGTGAAAGGTTCTGAGAAGCATTCTAAACCAAAGTGCTTGTCACCACCCTTCGGGCCATTTGCCTGAATTTCTTCCAATATAGTGGGTTAGTGGCCCCAGAGAGCAAACAAGTTTATTACTTATGCTTTTAGTCACTTTGCAAATCACTGCTACGTGTCTCTAAAAGACACACAAAGAAATGTTTGTAGGGCATAAAGTCAATGTTTAAAGCCTGTTTCATTCTAAGTCAAAGATAAACCAGGATCCATAGGCTCATCAAATTCCTTCTCCTCTTCCCTGTTCAAAAGCAAAAACATGAGAGTGAGGGAAGGAAAATCAGGCTAGCACTTAGAGCATTTTTATATAATCATATTTCTTTAAAAAGACTGACTGAGGGGCAACTAGGTGGCGCAGTGGATAGAGCTCTAGCCTTGGAGTCAGGAGGACCTGAGCTCAAATCCAGCCTCAGATACTTGACACTTACTAGTTGTATGACCCTGGGCAAGTCATTTAATCCCAACTGCCAAAGCAATAAATAAATAAATGAATGAATGAATGAATGAATGAATAAAAAAGACTTACTGAGAAAGCTTCATGAAATTCAAAAACGTCAATATCTTTCAATGTTAAGCCTGCTTTCTCTAGCACTTTAGGAGTTGCATACGTTGGCCTGAAAAGAAAAAGATAAAGTCTCAACATTTCAACTTGAAAGACAACTTAGTATAATGGGAAAGCACTGGACTGAGTCAGGAAGACCTGGGTTCAAATCCTGCCTGAGATACTTATTAGCTTTGTAACTATGGGCATATCCCTTCACCTTTCTGTGCCTCAGTCTCCTCATCTGTAAAATGAGGAGGCTGTACTTACATGGCCTCTAAAGTCCCTTCCAGGTCTTCATCTATGATTCTGTTTTTCAAGGCTGATTACACATCAGTCTTCCTCACATAAGCTATATTCCGGCCAAACTGAGCTTCTTGTTGTTCCTTGTATAGGACAGTCATCTCCTGCCTCCACGCCTTTGCCCAGGCTGCTCCTTATACTTGAGTTGCTCTTATTTGCTCTTGGGACTCCTCATTCTCTTCAAAGCTTAGCTCAAATGCCACATCCTATAGGAAGTCTATTCCGCTCCTCTAATTGTTAATGCTCCACTCCCCATCACTGTTTATTTTATTTATCTTTATTATATGTATACATATACATATATATATATCCTAAATCTATTTATTTTATATATATTCTAAATCTACTTATCTGTGAACATGCTGTTTGCTCTCTTCCCTCATCCTATCCCGAGTAGAATATAAACCCTCTGAAGGCAGGGACTTTCTCACTTTTGTATTTGTATCCTCAGAGCTTAGTACAGTTGTTCATGGTTATTACTTGCTATTACCTGAGTGATCAGAAATCCATTAAGGCCAGAATTTACTTCACATGACATCCTCTCAAATGTTACAGTGAGACCTCCATTAGGCATTACATTCCCCTCCCTTTTTCTGTTCCCCACCATAATATCTGAGCCTGCCAATTAGAATCCTGGAGGATTCTAATCCACAGCAAGGGGAAAATCTGTGAACATTTCCACTACTGTGCTGCTTGCTGCTTTGGGAAGACAATCGATCATGTTTTATCCCCAAACTGTACATTTTATAGTCAGGGTGGTCCAAACACTCAGTTTAAGAAGATCCCCTACCTATAAATGGTTGTGGAGGCCACATACCAGCTCTCTTTCTCCTCTAGGTCACTCCTACCCTGAACCACCCAAACAACCAGACTATCATTGGTCATTTGGTGTCTGATGTGGGCAAAACCATCCTTGTGTTTCCTTCGACTGCTTCCTGCTCTCCTTTTCCTTCCTTTAAAAACTGGAACTGATGTAGGGAGCTCCCAGTGAAGTACTTCCTCTCCCAATGGGCATGTGCCCCTTTTCTGCATCACCCAGTCTGAGAGCATTGCCCCCGAGGTCCCTGGGAGCACGTGGCAGAGGCAAGACACAAACCAGGGCCTTCCTGTCTTGGAGGCTGGCCTTCTCTCTGCCACACCCTGATGCCTTCCTCTTCCTTTCCTGGGTCAGTTAATTTCAACTCAGGACAAATTGCTCCTGTGTCTACCCACATTTCTTTAGCCCTGTTCCTCCTCTTTCACTTTCTACTCTTGCATGGGCTCCCAGGAAGGATATTTCCTTCACCTCTGCCTGCTTTTGCTTTACAGCCCCAAATCATGCAAGTCATGGCTCGTCAGCCTCAGAAAAGGGTTAGTAAAGACAAGTTGTAAATTTAAAAATTAAATGACATACATAAAGAAGCAATGCTTGAAGAATGCTCCAACATCTCCTTCAAGAGTTTATTAGTCTCCAGCTGAGTTTCCTTTTTGAATAACTAGACTTGTTTTTCCTCAAGCTCCACCCTTCTATATATATATATATAGAAAAATTCTTTATCACTTGTATTGAATTTGTTTTGGTTAATTATTTACTTTAATTACTTCTGTTTTGTTTAACAAATTGTATTGAGAGTTCATTGGAAATGTCTAACATTTTATTAAAGATCCTACCTACTTCACAAAGATCAAAGGAGATGATAATATAAGTGAAAAACCAGTATAAATTATCAAGTGCTATGCACATATATAGAGGGCAGTGGGCACATCCTAACAGTGTGACCCTGGGCCAGGTGTGGGGAACCTGCAGCCTGGAGGCCACACGTGGCCCTCTAGGTCCTCAAGTGCATCCCTTTGACTGAACCCAAACCTCACAGAACAAATCCCCTTAATAAAAAGATTTGTTCTATAAAACTTGGACCCAGTGAAAAGGCTGAGAACCCAAGGACCTAGAAGGCCACAGGTTCTCCACCCCTGCCCTGGACAAATAACCAATCAATGCCCAGCTTTGTCTCTAAAACTAGAAATTATAGACAAGTCACCAATCTCCACTAATGGAGGAGTTCCCCACAATGAAAGAGAATTCCTACATGTTGGTAAAAGCATGAAACCAAACTACCCTGCTCCTCCCCAACTTATATGGTAGAAGCAAGAGTGTAAGAACATGACTTGTAGTATCGTGGTTAATGTAAACTGCAAAAAGCAGCTCTATCTCATGGGAAAACTTGCACCTGACCATCAGCCATCCCTGGCACTATGGCTTCTTAGTTCTGTTTCTATATAATATCTGACCTGGCCTAAGCGTGGTATGGGGACCCATCATTCTGTTCTCCTGCCACCACGGACCGGTCTTGTGAGTAAGCTTCTCCCCATGAAATCTATTTACTTCCATGCTGGTGTGGACTGCCCCTCTTTCTTCAGTAGCAGTGTTCTCTCAGAGACAGGACCACCCTTCAGGATAGTCTGCCACCCTACAATTGGCAGTATCAGGGCAGAACAGATCTGCCACCTTACACACCCAAAACATATGTATGGAATTATTATTCAATCAATAAATCAACAAACAGGCACCTACTATAAATGACCTAGACATCAAGCACTATGTTAGGTGCTGGAGTTACAAAGACAAAAATGAAAAAGATACTGCCCTCAAAGAGCTCATATTACACCAGGTGAGATCTCTCTCTCTCTCTTCCTCTCTCTCTCTCACACACACACACACACACACACACACACACGCGCGCGCGCGCGCGCGCATGCTCCTGCAAGCACTTGAGAGAGAGGCAAACACTAAGCCTCTAGGAGGGAGGGGTATCAGAAAAGGCCTCATATACAAGGTGAATTGTGTAGTAAACTTTAAAGAAAACTAGGGATTCTAAAAGGCAAAGGTGAGGAGGGAATTCATTCCAGGTATGGGGGAACAACATGTACAAAAGCAGAGAGACAAGAGAGGAAATGTCACATGTGAGGAGCAGTAAGAAGGTCAGTTTGGCCTGGAGACTATGGAGTATATGAATGGAGATGATGTGTGTAGTTTTGAGCCAGGTTGTAAAGGGTTTTAGATGCTATATAGGGGAGTTTGTATTTAATTCTACAGGTAATGGGGAGCCACTGAAGGTTCTTTAACTAAGGGTGAGGGTTGACATGGCAGACCTATATAGTCTGAAAGTATCTATTTGGCAGCAATGTGGAGGATGGATTAGAGAAGGGGAAGACTGGAGATGAGGAGATCAATCAGGAAGGCCAGTCAAGGTGATAAGGATGTATACTAGGGTGATGACTGAGAGGAGAATCTAGGAACACTGGGATTGTGAGATCATGATTACTGTTATCATACAATTAGTATCTAAATAGGTCATTTCTTGAACTTAAAATCTGACCATGTTACATATTCCTAACTAAATCCAAAGGCAATATTACCACTTACCCCAGTAAAAGCTGATCTTTTGGATCTTGAGACACATACACAAAATCCCTAGGCAGAAAAACACTGTTAGTTCCAGTAATAAAAAATGCAAATAGTAGATGACACAGTTTAACATTTCATTTTACCTTAAGTATGCTTTTGGTTTATAGCCCAAGGCCAAAGCTTTTTCTTCTGACATAATCAGCATTGCTGAAGCTCCATCAGTCTGAAATAGTAACCAGAAAGACAGTCCTATTCTTGGTCTCAGTACCGAATGACTAGGTCACTTAAATGGGCTCCCTTAGCTCAATGGTTTATCTTATTTCTGAATCAGGCAGATAATTCATATTGTGTCTATAGAACATTGAGAACTAGTTTATTCTCTGAATAGTGCTGTGATAATTCCACTTGATAACTCACTTATCTAGTTTCATCCACCACTAAATTACAACCTAAGAACATTTTATGACCTTTTATCTGGGAGTTGGGTTCACAAAGAACTAAAGATGTCCAAAAAAATTTCGTTTCATCCATTAGACACTTTTTAAAAAGCGTGCCTTCTTTCATACATCAGAATCAAAGCTTTGTGCTTTTGGTACAGAATACCGGGAATTTTATAACTCAACCCACAGCAGCGGTTCCTCCAGCAGACCGAACCTTTTCTACACATCTTAGGATCTTTCTTTGAAACTGTTCTTTGCCCCTGTGTCTTCTGAGTAGCTTCTTTTCTCACTTCTAGGCTCTGCAATGGTAGGAAGCAGTGATGATGGGAGTAGCAAGAACAGCTAAGTAAGTTGGAAGCAGGAAGCAGAGGTTATTGCATGCGAGGGTGCTCTCGAAGATAGTCCTAAACTTTTAATCTGACATGCAATAACATCAGGATGCCAAAATGCCTATCTAAATGCAGTCCTTACTGCACTTCAAATAAAATAGCTGCAGGTGACAAGAGTTCAAACGGAAATGTCTCTCCATTACAAATTGTTCAAAAGTCAAAATATGCATCCTAGAGGACATCCTAGATCACATTTTTATAGCTCACTGTTGAGTTAAGATACTATCTAGTCACATTACCATAAATTCAAAAGAACAGGCCACACTCTTTTGCCACACTACATTTCTGTTTATCAAATATTCCTTCAAATAAGCAGGCTGTTGGCTAGGGAATGATAATTTTTTGGTGCTAGATATTCATTGTACATTGGAATTTGAAATGGAAGTTGTCCCCTAAGCTTCCAAACTAAGTCCCTTGCTTGTCTGCAGTTTTACACAATACCAGAACCATCATACTTCTCCCAGAGCCCAGAAAATGCGGCCTGAATACCCCTGTTGTGCTTAAGAGTTGAAATCCCACACACATACAATCCGAGCTTTTCTCTTCCCTGTATTTAACCACATCATTTTGCAACCAGTGTGTACCTCCATGGGTAAATGTGCTTATTATAGGAAATCTAAGGGTTTTTTGAGGACAGAGAATCTTTCATTTAACTCTGTTTTCCTCAACACCCAGCAGGCACTCAGAATGAGAAAGTTGGCACAGAGGACATTAACTGGGATCAATGTGGATCTGCAGCAGGCGACTTTGAGTTGGGAGATCACACAATCACAGATTAAGAGCAGAAATGGTCCCAGATCACCGGCTAAGAGCTGTGAGAGACCTTTTTAAAGGCTATCTAGTCCAACTGTCTCATTTCACAGATGACGAAACTGAGAGAGGTAAAGTCACAAGGTCATACAGAATCAGAATTTGAACCCAGGTCTTCAGAAAAACCATGCACTGAATACCATACTACCTCTCCACTAGGGAAAGTTTCCTTGCTTATTAGGTTAGAGGTATGGTGAGAATTTGATGCCCACGAGGCAGAAAGGGGCGGGGGAAGAGGGGTTTCAGGAGAAGTTAAAATTGTCAGGTTGATTCATGGCGGCAAGTCCAATGATTTAAAATAAAGGGGCTACTTTAGGTAGGCCACAGCAGGTGGTGCCAAGAGTGGTGATTGCTCTGAGAGGGGTCCTTTGGAAGGATAGAAATCATTTGGAAGTAGAGAAAACTAGATGTTGCATGAGTGAGGCTGCTTTGTGGTTGCAAATTATAATAGGGAAAGAGCAGCTATCTCTGGATAAATTTCTGGCCCTTGGACCCATCCACCTTCCCACCCAATTTCTTACAGAAAATCTCTGGCAGAGGAGTTTTTGATGGGATTTGGAACCCAAGAGTCTGTTTCTGACAAATAGTAGACTGGGCAAGGAGGGGCAGAACATGTTTCCACATTTTCAGGTGGAGTAGAAGAGAATTCTGGGGAAGAGAGAAACTAAGTATTCTTTGACCCAGAGAAATTCCATTTGGGATCATCCTCCCAAACTAACGAATGTTTCTGTGGACTCCCCTCTACTTTCCTACGACTTTTGGGGCTGCTGAGGCGCCACTTGTGCCTTCTCAGAACTGCCTCCATTTCTATTTGGGTGCTTATGGCACCTGAATCCCTGAGACTAAAACTTTTGTTGTGTAGCAAATTAGTATAAAACTGCAAGTAAATCTGAATCCATAGCTACATTTCTAATGAACAGTTAGCTAAAATGACAATGATGATAACCAAAACTGAAGACTGAACTAAAAATTTAAAGGCAGTTTAGGGATGCTAAAAACACCTCACTTAAAAGGCAACAGTACTCCTAAATTTCTTCCAATAAAATGGAGAAATGTGGGCTAAATGAGCAGTGAGGCAGAATCAGTGTGTTGAACCATCATGCCCTAATGAGTATTGATTAATGGATCAGTGTCAGCCTAGATCAAGAGTTCTTAACCTGGTCTCCATGAACTTGTTTTGTTTTTTAAAATATTCTGATAACTTTATCTCAATATAACTTGTTTCCTCAGTAACCTATGTATTTTATTTCATGCACTTTAAAAACAATATTCTGAGGAGTCAACAGGCTTTATCAGACTACCAAAAAGGTACATGACACAAAAGGTTAAATGCCCCTGGACTAAGTAGGGTGCTAATAGCAAACTGCAGGGCTTAGTGATTGACCCCACCTTATAGAAAATTTTCAGCAGTGATGTGAACAAAGACAAGTTTAGTAAATAGGCAAATGCAATAAAGTTAAGAGGATAGCTAATATATTGGGTAACAATTAGGATTCAAAGTGATCTCATTAGGTTGTTATAATGGCTTGCAAGTAAAAATATAATATTTTAACAGGGATGTATGTACTCACACAGAGCAAGGATTCTTAACTTTTGTTGTGTCACACACCACTTTGGCAGGCTGTTGAAGCTTATGGATCCCTTCTCAGAATAATGTTTTTATTTTTTTTAAACTTTTTTTCAGAATAATTTTTAAATGCATAAAAGACATAGGATCACAAAGAAAATCAATAATATTAAAATATTGATATTAATTAATATTAAAATTTGATATTAAAACATCAAAATATCAAAAAATTTGATATTAAAATATCAAAATATTTTTTAAAACCAATTTCACCAACCTCAGATTAAGATTCTCTGATCTAGAATTACTACAACATAGTGGACAAAGAGCTAGGCTTGATGCCACAGATTTGGGTTCACATTTTACCTCTGACACTTACTAGCTCTGGGACCCTAGCTTTTTTGTGCCTCAGGTAATTCCTTAAATCAGAGATGATTGTTGAGCCATCCACTTTGAAAGGAAGGAGTTCTTACAGCAGAATCTCCCACAATGAGACCCATCAAGCACATGTATTCATACAACACCTATGCTGAATGCTGGTTCAAAAAATCAATGCACGGGGGAAGGCTTGGCCTGAAGGCAGTTAACGTATAAAAGACCCAGGAGTTTCTGTTATGTGACAAGAGTGTATCAGATGTTAAATTCGCTAATGCATTCAACCTGTATTAACAGTGCCCAGATGAAAGGAGGAAATTGTTGCACTGACTCTAGAACACTGTGTCTAGTTCTAGGCATTATATATTAAGAAGGCTATTGACAAACTGGAGTAAATATGAAAATCACATCACATGAAGACGGCCTTAAAGAAGCTGGGGCATTTAACTTGAAAAAGAAAAGCCTTAGGAAGGTGACTGTCACCTTCAAAAATATGAAGGGGGGTCCCAGTGAAGTTAGAGCAAACTTGTTTTGTGTTGCTCTGGGGGACAAAATTAGGACTGGGAGGTGGAAGCTGCAAGGGGGCAAATTCTGGCTCCCCACTCAGAGTTTCTATGATTCAGTAAAAAAACGATCTTGATAATGACCTTGACCGTATCTGTATTTTGTATGGTACTGCTTTCTTAAGCCTTCATTGTATCATGAGCATCTGTGCACATTTCAGTTCCAGCTGAGATCCCTACCAATCAGAAAGTACAAGAAATGTCAACAAACACACATATTGCGTGGTTACCAGAAAAGACGAGTTAGCAGCCGTGACTGTGCCGTACGGTTTAATGAATGCAGGTTTCAGTTTTGCCATTTGTTCCATTGAGGAAGGACGAATGCCATTATCTTTGGAAACTGTATCTTTTCCTGTTTAAAATTAAAAAAAAGAAGTATTTTTAACTTGAAGGAACAGTAAGCGTCAGATGCTATTTTGTAGACAAGAGCTTCAAAAATCACAAAAACATGAAATTTAGGCCAGGCTCAGCCAATTAACATGAGGATTTTTGTTAGACCTTAAGAATGAAAACATTTTAAAAAGAAAATAAAACACCAGGATATTTGTGAAGAAATCTAAAGGACTAAAGAGTTCTGTTTTGTTTAAAATTTGGATTATTAGTAATATAATTCCACCATGTAAATCAGCAATCTACAAAGAGAGGACATGCATCTGATGTGTAAATAAATAGCTAACAATTTATATAGCACTTCCTATGTGCCACGCACTGTTAAGCATTTTGTAAGTATTATCTAACCTGGTCCTCAACCCTGGGAGGTAGCTGATATTATTAACCTCCTTTCACAGATGAAGAAACTAAGGCAAACAGAGGTTAAGTGACTTGCCCAGGTTCACACAGCCAGTAACTGTCCAAAGCTGGATTTGAAGTCACATCTTCCTGACTCCAGGTCTGTGCCATATAGTCTGTTAGTCTAACAACACCATCAATAACACCACCTTATATTTACATAATGTAAATGGTTTCAAACCGTTGCTTGATCTCAAGAACCCTGTGAGATAAGTATGATAAGAATTATTCCCATTTACAGATGAGAGGTTAAGTACTTCAACAACATAAAGAGAATTTTGACAGAGCCAAAATTCAAACTCTGGTTTTCCAAATCCAAGACCATACTCATTTCATTATACTACCTCCAGGAACACAGAAGGAAACAAGCACTGTAAAGGTGGAAGGGATCAATTAATAATGGGTTCTTATAATCCCAAAATCATGGAGTAAGACTGAAATGAAATAAAACTCTTCAGGTTTTAAGAGGCCAAGACTAGGAATTTCTGGTGGGACCAATATTTGATGTACTTCAAAAGGAGGAGTCCGTAACTAAAAATAAATTAACTAAAAATAAAAGAAAAAAGAAAAAAGAAAAAGAAAACTTAGACATGACAGATCTCCAGTGATTACTGAATGAGAATTGAAAGGAATTTAGATATTCCTTAGATGTTTATACACCTACAAAAAACTGACCATTTTCTATGACAAAAAAACTCACAAAAATGCATAAAAGCAGAAATAGTGAACACATGACCTACTGATAACAATGAAATAGAAATTCTATTAAATTTTAAAAGCAGGGGGGTTCTAGGTTGAGAAAAGGACTTGGGATTCTGCAGCTAGTTCTCATTCTACATTCTCCTGTAAAAGAAAAGTCAAGTTGTGTTCACCTGGAACTTTGAAGGAGATAACGTCAGTGAGGAGTCCTTGGTCCTGGGCTTGCTTGGCTAGAGTGTGAGAACGAAGGGCATACTCATCCTGCTCTGTGCGGGAAACAGCGAATGCGGCAGCCAGTCGGTCAGCAGAATGGCCCATTGTCTCACTGGTCGAGAACTCAGCCACTGCAGGAAGCTGGGAAGAAAAGAATGATGAGAGTGAGGAACTCTGATGACCATTTGACAGCAGCCACATAGCAACTGGTGGAGAAGAGTCCCACAACATAACTTTTGTTTATTCTCTTAAAAGAACTATAACCTAAAGGTTTTGTTGGTTGTGTTTTATAACTGAAGGAACAGGAAGCTCTCTGAAAATCACAGAGTACATATGCTATAGTTTCTATGACAACCCAAACCAGCACCTGAACAATGAAGATTCTCAGCATCTACTAATTTTTTTTTGCATGTTAAACTAAATAATTAAGCTTTCACTGAGGCCAACAAGATCTTCCTTCATGAGTGTTTAACACACTCAAAGTCCAACCTTTATATTACTTCAAAGAAACTTACTTGACAATCAGAAGTCTCTCCAGAGAAGTTAAAAATCTTACCTCTGGTGCTAAGAAATTCAGTCTGAATTTAGAAGCTAGAGACAGTCGCTGACCCAGGCTCTTGGCCTTGTTAAGCTCCAGCATTAATTTCCTCATCTTCCTAGAATGTCGAATAGGGACATCTGACATTAACTCCACACCACCTGCCACGACCACATCATACTGGCCAGAAGCAATCAAACCAAAACCTACAGGAGAGGGTTAATAATGAGGATATGACATAAGATTCTTGTTGATAATGTATCATGATGCATTTATTGTTTTAATCTGAACCTAAACAACAAATAATACAAGCATTTCCATATATAAAGCAAAACAGAAAAAGGATTATACATAAAAACTGTTAACCATTACGTACAGCTTGATTTTCCTTTTAAATATATAATAAATGCAACATGGACCTTTCAAAGCTGTACTGCTGGTCTATGTTTCTTTCTATTTTTTTTTTTTGTATATCTGACCAAATGGTGTAATGAAATTCTTTTGTTTATGGAGACCCTGTTACTAGTCCCTTCTTCCCATTACCTACTCCCCAATTTTGAAAAAAAAGAAAAATAAAATCACTGTAACAAATATGCATAGTCAAACAAAACAAATTTATACAATGGCCATGTCAAAAAGTAGAATGCCTCACTCTAGTTCACTGCCTCTCTCTAGAAGATAGTGTATTTCAACATCAGCTATCTGGATTGTCCATGATCACTGAAACTGCTTACCAGGATATCAGAGGATCAGCACAGTAGAAAATGTATAACTAAATATGTTCTCTTTACAGAATCAGTCAAGGTAATATTAAAGATACAAAATAAATTCAACACACTAGCAAAAAATGTGCTTCATGAGCACATGAGAAAAGCCTCCTCAATCATCCAATTATTGACCAATCTCCCTGCCTCTAGACAATATTGTACTCATATATGCCAAATCAGACAAATGGATGCCTATCCTACACAAAAATCTCCATGGAAGATGATCTACAACTTTAGGACAAACAGGTGGCTGACATTTACTAAGCGAGCAGATTTCTGTAGTCAGTGGACCTAGGTTCAAATTCTGGCTCTGCTACTTACTAGCAAGCCATAAGATTTAGTGCTGAATGGAAACCTAGATAATAATAGATGACATTTAAACAACACTTTGAGGTTTACAAAGTGCTTTACATACATTATTTAGGGAAAACACTGAGGCCCAGAGAGGTGGCCCTTGTAACCTTGACCAAGATCACACAAATAGTAAGCTGTAGAACCAGGAGTCAAAGCTAGGTTTCCCAACTCTACATGATTTTGCCTTTGTAGGCCTGAGTTTCTTCATCTAGAAAAGGAAGGGATTCAATCAGATATTCTCCAGTCCTTTCCAGCTCTAAATTCTATGATCCTTATCAGGAACCTAGCAGCCAATGTTGTACTGTCTTTTACAGGATCACCTTAAGTGTGGTCACCAAGACCCAGTGAGAAGAAACTAAACCATTTTACTGCTAACTCTTCTCAATAGTGAACTAGCTTCTTTCCAGTTTCTCCATGGCTTTAGCTCTGGCTTTTGGGGTTTGGGGCTTTCCCATTTGTGCACCCTGCCACCTGGTCTTCTCCTTTTAGTATCCCACCCAGGCCTATTCCATTCATATTTTGGTCCTGACTTGTCTGCTCCCTTAGCTGACTGATTTGGCTTCTTCCCTACCTCCCTACTTACAAGGCCTGAATAAATTAGCAGCCTTAACTGTCCTGATTTTGTTTTAGCTCTTCCCAGTTATCTACCTGCCTCCTACTATGCACCAGCCAGGCTATGATATTCATCTTTCCACCAGTACTAAAAAACATTCATTAGGTAACCTCGTATGAATGGTAGCACTGTGCTTAATGCTTGGAGACCAAAAATGGTAAGAAAATATTTCCTTATTTCTCAATCTCCTTATTTACCTCTCTAAAAGACTCTGGGAATCTTAAATAGGTCAATGTCTGCCACTGTAATGTCAGAAGTGTATTTTTGCTGCTTCTCCTTCACTGAGAACAACCCCAGCAATAATAATATCCATAGACCCTAAGCCTCCTTACTATGTAAACACATTTTGTTGACATTAATAAAATCTTTGCTCTTAACAAGATATGTTCACTTTATCATTAAATACTTATTTGACTTGCACTATGTTCAAGAAAGATGCTAAGCTGGCATATAACCAAACCACTATTTACTTGGGAAGTCATGTAGCTCACTTATTTCATCATCTGCTCTGAAGCTCCATTCCTCAGTTAGGAAACTCTGAGAGCTTTTGAAAAGCATTAATAATTGCCAAAGACACAATTGTTCAGATAGCACTATATCAAGGATGAGTCATTTTTCACTTGTGACAAAAATGCTCTTGGAATGATCTGGTCAAGTTTTCTGTAAACACATATCTTTCTCGCTATCGTATGAAACGTCTTTGCTTATACTGCTCATCTTAAACCATCCTCTACCATAAGATTTTACCAACATATTTATATTCTAAATTGCTGTTATCCTTAGCTCAGATCTCTCTCTACTTAGCAAAGAAATCAAGGTTTTCTAGCTATAGAGGTTTTTAGGTTCTTTCAGTCTTCTTGTGTTTGATTTACTTCAGTTACACTTTCTTAGGAGATTTTAGTAGTTTGTTGATGTATGTACTTTTTCTATTTTCCATTTAATCAGGTTTCCCTCTTACTAACTCCATTAGTGTGGATAACTCCTGGTTAACTACCCAAAACTCTTTCTACAAACATAGATTGCAACTATTTTGTGATTTATAATCTTAATGACTTGTCTTGGGCCACACATCCAATTATGGGTAAGATGGCAGTCCTTGAGCCCAGTTCTTCCTAACTCCCAAGCTAGCTCTCCATCTCTATATAGAAATAGACAGACAGATAGATATAGAAATCTCTATATTTAAATTTAAGGATTAAAAAAAGAAATAGGAAGAAAAGGAATACAAACTAAAGTAGAATCATCTAAAGGATAAATTTAATTTTAAAATATTGGTGTCACATATTTTGTTTCTTAATCTATCAAATTCTGAAATCTTAGGCAAATCATTTAATTTCTCTTTAAAAAAGCTACCTATGGGGCAGCTAGGTGGTGCAGTGGATAGAGCACCGGCCCTGAAGTCAGGAGGACCTGAGTTCAAATCCGGACTCAGACCAAACACTTGACACGAACTAGCTGTGTGACCTTGGGCAAGTCACTTAACCCTGACTGCCTCACCAAAAAAATTAAAATAAAAAAGCTACCTACCCCCTGAACAAGGAACTAAGACAAGGCTTTTAATTTTGAAATTATCTGCTAAAAATTATGGAACTTGTAAGTGAGCATACCTGTTGTCATGGCTTGGTTGGAAGAAATGCAAGCCATAGTGACAGTGTGAGAAGGAATCTTGTCTGAGAAGCCAGCTCCCAGTGCAGCCTTTGAAAAGCATAAGAATAATTACTTATAAAGAAAGAACCTGACACTTCTTTTTTTTACTTTTCTTTTTTTTATAATTAATTTATTTTTAGTTTTCAACATTCACTTCTTTAAGATTTTGAGTTTTAAATTTTATCCCCCTCCCTCTCTTACCCTCTTCCCAAGATGGTGTGCAATCTGATATAGGCTCTACTTATACATTCATATTAAACATTTTCACATTAGTCCTGATATAAAGAAAAATTAGAGAAGATGGTGGAGGGAAAGTAGTGACTGTCCTGAGCTCTCTCCCAAAGCCCTCCAAATACCTAAAAAAATGGCTCTAAATAAATTCTAAAGCAGCAGAACCCACAAAAAGACAGAGTGAAACAAATTTCCAGCCCAAGACAGCCTGGATAGTTGATCAGAAAGGTATATCGCGCCGGGCGGGGAGAGGAGCGCAGTTTGGAGTGGGCACGCAGGCCGCAACAACCCTGGAGCAGGCCTCAGAAGACTGAATCTCGGGCAGCTGTGGCGGTTTCCAGACTTTTCAATCCCTGAACGCCAAAGACAATTTATAAGGTCAGCAGGAAAAGTCTGTGACTGAGGTGAGAGAGGAGCTAGGTCTCAGCTGCAAGTCTCGAGCACGGCCCGGGGCCACAGCTGTTTCCTGAGCTTCTGGCCCATAGACTGAGGGGGAATCGAGTGGCTGATCACAGGGGGATTGCAAGGATCTCTTTGCCAGTGCTGAGGCAGGAATCTCTTGCTTTACCGGTGCTTGGATCTGGGTCACAGTTCTGAGGGGCGGTCCTGGGGCGAGGAGGAGCGCTGGTGTGGTGGAGCTTGTTGTGGCTGTGGAGAGGAAACACCTCGCCGCTTATCATACCACCTTGGAAGAACTGAAAATTTACAGGTCCCTAGAAGTACCTCTGAAAACAGCTGTACAAAATCCCAATGCTTGGGACAATACACTCTTCACACTGGAAGCAGCCTTTTACCTTAACAAAGAGTTTAAAACTCAAGTAATTGGCCAGGATCATGAGTAAGCAGCACAAAAAGAGTCAGACTATATTATCTTACTTTGGTGACAAAGAAGATCAAAATATACAACCAGAAGAAAACAACAAAGCCAAAGCTCCTACATCCAAAGCCTCTAAGAAAAATATGAATCACTCCCAGGCCTTGGAAGAGCTCAAAAGGGATTTTGAGAAGCAAGTAAGAGAAGTAAAGGAAAAACTGAGAGTGATGCAAGAAAATCATGAAAAACAAGTCAACAGCTTGCTAAAGGAGACCCAAAAAAATATTGAAGAAAATAACACCTTGAAAAATAGCCTAACCCAAATGGCAAAAGGGATCCAAAAAGCCAGTGAGGAGAAGAATGACCTAAAAAGCAAAATTGGCCAAATGGAAAAGGAAGTTCAAAAGATTACTGAAGAAAATACTTCCTTAAAAATTAGAATGGAGCAATTGGAAGCTAGTGACTTTATGAGAAATCAAGATACTGTAAAACAAATCCAAAAGAATGAAAAATTAGAAAACAATGTGAAATATCTCATTGGAAAAACAACTGACATGGAAAATAGATCCAGGAGAGAGAATTTAAAAATTACTGTACTATTTGAAAGCCATGACCAAAAAAAGAGCCTAGACATCATCTTTCAAGAAATTATCAAGGAAAACTGCCCTGTTATTTTAGAACCAGAGGGCAAAATAGAAATTGAAAGAATCCACCGATCTCCTCCTGAAAGAGATCCCCAAAGGAAAACTCCTAGGAATATTATAGCCAAATTCCAGAGTTCCCAGGTCAAGGAGAAAATATTACAAGCAGCCTGAAAGAAACAATTCAAGTATTGTGGAAACACAATCAGGATAACACAAGATTTAGCTGCTTCTACATTAAGGGACTGCAGGGCATGGAATATAATATTCCAGAGAGCAAAGGAGATAGGATTACAACCAAGAATCACCTACCCAGCAAAACTGAGTATAATCCTGCAGGGGAAAAAAGGTCATTCAGTGAAATAGAGGACTTTCAAGCATTCTTGATGAAAAGACCAAAGCTGAATAGAAAATTTGATTTTCAAATACAAGACTCAAGTGGAACATAAAGAGGTAAACAGGAAAGAGAAAATCATAAGAGACTTATTAAGGTTGAACTGTTTACATTCCCGCATGGAAAGATGATATTTGTAACTCATGTGACCTTTGTCAGTATTAGGGTAGTTGGAGGGGAAAAAATTATATGTATGTATATATAGATATAGATAAATAGAGGGCACAGGGTAAGTTGAAAATGAAGCGGTCATATCTGGAGAATAAAATTAAGGGGTGAGAGAGGAATATAATAGGAGAAGGAGAAAGGGAGAGGTAGAATGGGGTAAATTATCCCAGAATTAAAAAAAAAAACAGAAAAGAAAAGGCTCTTAGAATGGAGGGGAAATGGGGAAGGTGAGAGGGAATGAATGAATCTTATTCTCATAGGATTTGACTTAAGGAGGGAATAACATACACACTCAATTGGATGTGGAAATCTGTCTTACCTTACAGGAAAATGGTGGGGGGGAGGCAGGAAGGGGACAAGAGAGTAGGGAAATGATAGAGAGGAGGGCAGATTGGAAAAGGGAATAATCAGAAGCAAATACTTCTGAGGAGGGTCAGGGTCAAAAGAAAGAATAGAATAAATGGGGGGGCAGGACAGGATTAAGGGAAATAGAGTTAGTTTTTCACTGCATGTCTACTATGGAAGTGTTTTGCATAACTGCACATATATAACCTATATTTAGTTGCTTGCCTTATCATTGAGGGTGGGTGGGGAGGGAGGAAGGGAAAAAATTTGGAACCCAAAGTTTTAAAAACACATGTTTAAAAAAAATGTTTTCACATGCAACTGGGAAATAAGAAATACAGGAAATGGGGTACAGAAATCCATCCTGCCCTACAGGAAAATTGAAGGGGAAGGGGATAAGAGAAGGGGGGGAGAGCTAGAAGGGAAGCAGACTAGGGGAAGGGGTATTTAGAATGCATGCCATCTTGGGGTGGGGGGAGGGGCGAGATGGGGTGAAAATTTATAACTCAAAATCTTGTGGAAGAAAATGTTGAAAACAAAAAAATAAATAAAAATTACCATAAAAAAGAGAGTTAAGCACAAAATAAAATAAAATAAAATAAAATTTATAAAGCTCTCAGCAAAAAAAAAAGAAAAATTAGAATTAATAGGAGGAACCATGAAAAAGAAGAAACAAAGCAAAACAACAAAAGAAAAGGAGAGCAAATAGTATGTTTCCATCTGCATTCAGACCCTCCATAGTTGTTTCTCTGGATGTGGATAGCATTTTTCTTCATGAGTCTCTTGGAATTGTTAGTCATTGCACAATGTGGCTGTTAACTGTGTACAATGTTCTCCTGAGAACCTGACACATTAACTACTCTCTTCTCTTCTTGGATACTCACTTTTCTCTAGGTTTTCAAGACACTACTCTCTCGGTTCTTCTCCTATCTTACTGACCATTCTAACTCTCCTTTTCTGGGCCATACATAATTCATGTCATGTTCCATTAGCTGTTGGGGAACCCCCAAAGTTCAGGCCTGGGCCCTCTTCTTTTTTCTCTCTACATTCTCTCTATTGGTGAACTCATCACCTCCCAGGAATTTCATTACCATTTCAGGAAGATTATTCCCAGATCCACACATCGAGCCAAATTCTTTCCCATTACCTCTATTCCAAAATAGATGTCCCATAAACATCTCAAACTTAACATGTTCAAAATAGAATTTATTATCTTTTCCCCAAAACCCAGGCCTTTTCTGAACTTCCCTATTTCTGTGGAGGACACTACCATCCCTCCAATCACCCAGGTTTGCAACCTAAGAGTCATCCTCAACTTCTCTCTCTCTTCCCACACAGGCAATCAGTGGTCAATTCTTATTATTTCTACATCTACAATATCACTTACATCTATTCCTTTCTGTCCTTTCGTGCCCTTATTCAGGCCCTCATCACCTCTTGCCTGGACTATTGATATAGTCTCCTCCTGCATCAAATCTCTCCAACCTCAAATCCAACCCATTTAAGCATCTGCTATATGACAGGAACTGTGCTAAGTGTCAGAGAAACAAAGACAAAATGAAACAATCCCTGCCTTCAAGGAGCTTCACCATTCTAGAAGCAAAGACAATACGTACACGTGTGTGCACACAAATGTAGGTATGTATACATATATGCATAGATACATGCATATTTGTATGTATGTATATATGGATCTAAAAATATATTAAAAGTAAAGGGTGGATGGGAGAGGAATAAGGTTTCACGTAGAAGATGACTATTGAACTGGATTTCAAAAAAAAAAAGCTTCCCATACTAGCCAAAGGAATTTTCCCCAAGTACAGACCTACCACATCACCCCCTACTCAATACTTCCTTTGTTGTTGGATTGTTTCAGTCACGTCCGACCCTTCATGACTCCATTTGGAGTTTTCATGGCAAAGATACTAGAGTAGTTTACCATTTCCTTCTCCAGCTCTTTTTATAGATGAAGAAAATGAAGCAAACAGGGTTAAGTGACCTGCCCAGGGTCACACAGCTAGTAAGTGTCCGAGGCAGTATTTGAACTCAGGTCTTCCTGACTCCAGGCCCAGCACTATATCCACTGCACCACCTCACTGCCCCCTAGTGGTTCTTTATTGTCTCTAGAATAGGATAAGAATAAGTCTGATAATAATATATAATATATTAATGATAGAATAATAAGATAGAATAAGTCTAGAACAAGTCTGGCCCCAAACTACCTTTCTAGGCTTATAAACAATTTCTCTTCCCATCCTCTAAGGTTCAATCAAACAGCCTTGCTGGACTTACACATGACACTCCCTCTCCTAATTCTGTCCCTTTGCAGTGATTGGCCATCATGTTTAAAATGGAGTCCCTCCTCACCTCTGATTTCCTTCAAATAAATAAACAAATTAATTAAAATCCTTGATTTCCTTTAAAAATTAGCTCAAGTACCACCTTCTTCATGAAGTCTTTCCTGAGTCTCTCTCACCCACCTCCTAGTGCCCTCCCCACAAACATTACCTCGTATTTACTCTTTCTATTTTCTCTATATTTATAAACCTCCATGGTGTCTCCCCCAATATAAAAGAAGCTCCTTAGGGGGAGGAACTGTTTAATTTTTGTCTTTGTCTCTCCAGTGCCTGGCTCAGTGTTTGGCACAGAGTGTCTAAGCTTGTTTGCTTTTTATACAACAGCTGTTTAATAAATGCTCATTGAATACCTGTCATTTGTCTATGAGTCATCTGAATATTTAATAAGCATTGCATCTGGAAAGCTGAATCAATACTCTAATCTAGGGCATATAGCCCACTTGGCTGAAAGGAGTTTGTGAGCCAGTTTTGGGAAAGACTGAAATAACTGCTTCCGCTGGAATATAAAACCTAAACAATATGAGCCTCCATTATATCACGTGAAATGCTGATTGCAGGAGATAAGTAAGCAGCAATAGAAATTCAAAGTCCTGTTCTCCTGAGTTTCCAATGACAAAACATAGTGGCACCATGCCAACTAGTATAAAGTTGAAACATGCTAGGAAGTTAAAATTAAACTCCTGAGAATTTCCCTCATGTAAGTGTCATCTGGTTGTGGAACCATGTGAATAGGCAAAAATAACCCATCACCTAATACTGCCAAGGGATGATAGGCAAAAAAGCAAGTTGGGATGTGATTCTTTTTGCAACTTGTTGAAATGCCTGCCGAAACTGCAAACTTGGGTTAATTATAGGAATTGTTACATATAGCATTACCAAGGGGACCTACAATCTACTACCTAAAGTCATCCCTTTCTATGACTTCTATCCTTCCATCATGAAAGGCAGACAAAATATTTTCCACATGAGCTGAGACGTTAGGTAATGTTCCTTGTTCATTTTAAAGTCAACATTCAACTCTGTAACGTACACTAAAAGGACAGAAAACTAAAAGCATGATTTGGGTTGGTCAGATCAAAGTGAGCAATTAACTAACCTTTAAAAGTCTATGAGCTTCATATAATGAAAGTTATTTATTTTATCTTGTGTAATGGTCTCTGTCCCTTGTTTGGTTAAAAATATATCTCGTATCCCACAGCTGTGAAAAGCATATGATCTGCTTCTCTTCTAATTATTTTTAATGGTATGATTTTTAATATTAAAGTCATGTATTCATTTTGAATGTATTGTGGAATATGATGTTAAGGTGTTAGTCTAAGCCTAATTTCTGCCAGATTACTTTCCAGTTTTCCCAACACTTTCATCTTTCCTAAGTCATTTAGGTATTCCACTTTATCACATTCTGAGTTATTGAGATCTATTGTTTCTGATTTTCCCTTGCCCAGTCTGTTCCATTGATCTAACTCTCTATTTTTTAACCAATCACAGATGGTTTTGATGACTGCTTCTGTATAATATAGTTTGAAATTTGAAAGCCTACTTCATCCTCCCTTCCTAGATCTTTTACTTTTCCAAATAAACTTTGTTATTATATTATTTTGTCAAGTTCTGTAGAATGTCCCTGTGACAATTTGACTGGTATAACATTAAAACTATAAATTAACTTGGGAAGTATTGTCATTTTTATTACATTGGCACATCTTAATCATGAGCACTGGATATCCTCTAGCCATTTAAATAGTTCTATATTTCTTAAGGGAACACTTTTCAACTAAATCCATGTCAGTACTGTGTGCTTTGGCAGATTGATCCTCAGATATTTTATACATTTTGTAGTTATTTGGAATCAGATTTCCCTTTTTTATCATTGCTTCTTAGATGTGTTATTATATAAAAACATTGATTTTCGAGGGTTTATTTTGTAGCATGCAACTTTGCTGAAGCTATTACTTATTTTAATGAGTTTCTTTGCTAATTCCCTAGCATTTCCTAAGTAAACTAACATGTCATCAGCAAATAGGGATAGTTTGATCTCTTCTTTATCTATTTTTGTCCTGTTACTATTGCTAGCATTTCTAGAACTTTATCAAGTAATAGTGGGAAGAATGGGCATTCTTGCTTTTACTCCTACATTTGCTGGGGAAACTTCTAGGGAATGTCCATTGGATATACTTGCTTTTTTATCTTAGATAAATATTTTTCATGATATTTTTGAAAAAAGATCCCTCTATGCCTATACTTTATAGGTTTTTTGGCATAAATGGGTACTACACTTTTGTCAAAAGCTTTTTCTGCAAATATTGAAATAAACATGTAGTTTTAGAATTTTTTGTTTTAATATGATTAATTATATTAATCATTTTCCTTATGTTGAACCCTCCTTGCATCATTGGTATAAATCCAACTTGGTCATGGTGAATGATTTCTTGTATGAATCACTGTAATCTGTCCGAAAGGATTTTATTTACAATTCTGAATCAGTATTCATTAACAGTATCAGGGGCAGCTAGGTGGCGCAGTGGATAGAGCACCGGCCCTGAAGTCAGGAGGACCTGAGTTCAAATTCGGCCTCAGACCAAACACTTAACACTTACTAGCTGTGTGACCCTGGGCAAATCACTTAACCCCAATTGCCTAAAAGAAAAAAAAACAAAAAAAAAACCCAAACAGTATCAGTCTATAGTTCTCTTTCTGCTCTTTATCCTTCCCTGTTTGAGGTATGAAGACTATATTTGTCTCATAAAAGTATAGGATACGGTGCTTTCTTTCTCAGTTTTTGATAATAATGAGCACTGGAACTAATTGGTCTTTAAAATTCTGATAGAATTCTCCAGTGAATCTATCGGGACAAGGATATATTTTCTTTGGTAGTTCCTTTATAGTAGTTCTACTTCTTTTTTTCAGATTGGATTATATAAGATCTCTATTTGGTGTTCTATTAGTTTGGGTGTTTTATATTTTTGAATATCCATTAAAAGTTGCATGTCACCTCTATCTCCTTCCTTGCTCAGGTTTTGTTAGAACAGTATTGTGGTCCAGAGTATCAATACAGATTAGGAATTTTAAGAATCAAAATTATTATTTAATACTTGACATCATTTTATTTTCAAGTTAAATGAACTTTATAAACCTTTTTAAAATATGAAAACCAGTCAACTGAAAATCCTATGAGACTTACTAGCTATACAGCTTTGTTTTACTTACCTCTCGAGCAACATTACTTGTTTTCACTTCCTGGATAACTGTACCATAGACAATATAATCAACACTATCCTTTGGGATACTGGTTCGATGTAACAAGCCCCTGAAAAGAAAAAAAAAATCAAAAATACGTATTCTATTCTTAAAGTAATCCTTAGGTCAAACATATGAATAGGGGATACAGGATAGGAAGGAGCAAGTGGCACTTTTCCCAAATGGTAAAAATTTCCTCCTGAGATAATGTCTCTGACTCTGGGAAAAAAGGGAGAATATTATTGTTCTGGCTAACATTTTGAACAAAACGTTCAACAGAATATAAATTCTGGGAATTGAATATTTAAATGAAAATGATAATAAATTCTAGTAAGCAGTTGGGTAGCACATATTTGTAAAATTACAAATGGAAGTTTATGCCTAAATTTAAATAGTGGCCAAAAAGATGAATGTGTGTGTGTGTGTGTGTGTGTGTGTGTGTGTATACACACACAAACATAAATCCTACTAGATTTCTCTGTTATACTAACTCAATATTAAAGGAAAGCATGTTGTTATATACTGTTTCATAATCCAAAAGTACAGGTATTCTTTACTTAACCAAACAGATGGAATGCTGAAAAGTATTTGTAAATAAAATTTCTGATAACTCCTATTTTCCCAATGAAATCTGGAAATCTAATTACTGGCCTCAGATGTTATACTGTAACTCTTTTTTTTTTTTTTTTGAGGCAATTGGGGTTAAGTGAATTGCCAAGAATCACAGAGCTAGTAAGTATCTGAGGCTGGATTTGAACTCAGATCCTCGTTATTCCAGGGCCGGTGCTCTATCTACTGTACCACCTACCTGCCCTATGCTATAACTTTTAAGAATAAAGCAGACATTTTAAATTCACCCAAGTGAAAAAGGTTAACCTCCCAACAGTGTTACTGAGAATTATTTATGTATGTGAATGATTTCTACCTGCCATTGTATGATTATTTATAGTTCTTGGTCATAATGAATATTTTGTTGAAACTAAATAAAGATCAAAATGGCAATTCTGTGTATACCTATTAGATTCCCCAGACAACTTATAATACCTCTGATCTCTCTGGGATTCTTGGCTCATGGGACAGAAATGTATATGCTGAATATAATGTGTACAATATTTATTGGGATATATTTACATACATCTAGCTAAATTATACATATTAAAGCTAATAAATGCTATTAGAATTCAGAGAAAGGAGAGGTCACATTGGGTTGAAATGTTCACAAAAAGACCCATGAAGCAGATGGAATTCTTACACCGGCTTTTGAAAAGTTACTATCTGTATAGTTTGTTAAAGTTTCTATAACTACAATAATTCTTCCTACTGTTTACAAGATATACCAAAGTGGTGATTATCTAGAAACATCATCAAGATTAGCAAATATGTGTTTAGTTTGAACATTCTCATTTAAAGAGAATACTGTTCCAAACACTTCATGATACCTCATGCTTGGTGTCTTTCTTAGTTAAAACAGTTCAAGAATACTGAGAATCTACTTTGTTAACACATTGAAGGAGTGTCTGCCGAGCCTCACAAAGGGCAGTTATATATAACATCTTCTGTTGGCTGAGTTAGCTTTAGTGTAGGAGAGCTATGCACTCCAGCGAGTTCTTGGAGCACAACAGTACTTATGACACAGCTGACATATGGAGATGGACAGTATGGGATAACTCCTCTATCTCCACAAACATTTCTGTGAGTTCTGGGCAAAGGTTTATTTATATTAAATTTGCAACTTAATTTCTTAAAGGAAAAACTAACAGAATATCCTAAAAGCTAAAAGTTTTATTATACTCTTCTTCAATTTAATTAAAAAATTTATTAATTAAGCAACTACTATACAATGGGAACGTAAGGATTAAAAACAAAATGCTTCCTGCCCTCAAGGAGTTTATTATCTTACTGGGTATAGGGAATGAACAAAGAAGATGACATCTGCACAGACAGGGAGAGGACAGAGAATGCCTAAGGAGAAGTCAATACAAGGTGACTTAAGGGAGAGAGCACTAACCATGGGGATTAGGAAAGGCTTTTCACAGGAAGTCGTATTTTGGCCAAGCTTTGAAGGGAACCAAGGATGCCAAAAGGTAGAGAGGAGGAGGGGAGAAAGACATATAGGCATGGGGGACAAATAATGCAAAGGCATGGAATCTGAGATAGAATGTCAAATGCAAGGAACAGCAAGGCTAGTCTGGCTGAAATACAGAGTGGATAAAAAGGAGGAATGTGAAATAAGTCTGGAAAGATAAGCCATATATAGATTATAAAAGGCTTTCGATGCCAAAGTGAATAGGGTGAACTTTATGCTTGAGGGAATAGGCCTCTGAACATTTGTGATCAGGGTAGTGACATAGCTGTACCTGTGCTTTAGGAAGATTATTTTGGTAGCTGTATGGAGAAAGGACTGGAAAGGGGAAAGACTAGAAACAAGAAGGCCAATTAGGAGGCTTTTGCTAGAGTCCAGTCAAAAGGCAACAAGGACTGGAAATAGGGTAGCAGCTGTGAGTAGTGAAGGAGAAGGGGCAAGATGTTGTGAAGGAAAAATCAACAGACCTTTGAAATGGATTGCACAGAAACTGAAGAACTGACTTTTTAGATACGGTCATTTTAAAACTATACTACATACATGGCATTCTTGTTAAAGGGCCAAAGCAAAATGGCAAGTTTGAAAAAGAGAGAGAAATAAGGAAAGAAGGAAGGAAGGAAGGAAGGAAGGAAGGAAGGAAGGAAGGAAGGAA